CCCGGGCAAGTCTTTGTTTTTGGAGCCTCTTCTCGCTGGTGCCACCATGGTTTAGTTACAAAGAGGCAAAATGCACACAAATTTGAAAGAAGTCAGATTTTTCCACCAAGAGTAGGCGGGACTCGTCCATACATATGAGCCAGCTCGAGACCGGGAGGCAGCAGGAAGGCTGCGACACAGATGTCCTTCTAGTGCAAAACGAGGGAAAGGTTGCTATCTTCGAGCAAAGAATCACTAATCAATTAAATCATAAGTGCGTCAAAAGCAGAAGAGATCCACCTTGCAATAGGGACTGCCGGGCGGAAAAGCGGCAGGGGAGTGACCGCGCCTGTCCTCGTGTGTGGTGTGCTGGTTAGTCTTTGGTGCATACTGGTGAGAATGGCCAGATATGAATGCTTTTTCATTGACAGAAAACATTATTATTACAACCAGAGGATTGCTGCTGACTGAGGCAGCCGAATAGGTGTATATAGAGGGAGAATCGAGGGAAAAGTCGGTAATGTTTATCGACGACAGTAGATTCACAAAAATGCTCAAAGGGCCACAGCAAGGCTTTTCTGATAGAGGCAGCTCTCTTTTCGGAAACATAGGTCACAATTTACTGGGTAAGTTGCAAAGCATTCAGGATATGCGAGGATACGTTTCCTGTTACGAAATGGGAAACAGTGAATGCGTGCCGCCTTATGCCAAGCTACAGATGTCAAATGATGAGGACTGTGTGAGAGCCAATCAAAGCAGTCTAGCCAAATTCATGGGCACTCCGAGCAGTCAGCACGGGCACATCAAAGTGAATTGGAATAAGGCGAACAGAAAATAGAGGTGAGGCGAATTCGCGCCACATCAAACAGGCTTTTCACGACGTGTCCTGCATGCAACTATATCCCAGAGAACATGTTTCGCCAACTAAATCAGAATGTCAGATCCACGATGCACACGCAAACAATCACTGGGAAGTGACGATTCGCAAGCAAGAATGCCGGCGCTGGCGAGAGCGCGTGGCCGGCAACCACTGTTCGCAAAGACATTTCTGTCTAGAATAGGGAGCAAGCTACATTCTTTTTCCGTAGAAGCTTGAAAGTTATTTTTGTAAGCCTTTGTGGAGGCCACGGTGCATGCCTTCATCAATAGTTTGCCGAGGAATTATCGTGCGTTAATATTTATTCAATAAGTGCTGAGCATGTGAATAGTCAATGAAAGATTGGTAAATACCTGTCATCACGATTCAAGCTTGACATAATCGAAGGCATGACCGGAATGTCTGCACCGTCCAAAGTGCTGCAGTCCCCGCAAGAAGGGGAGACTGCTCCTCCATATTTTGTCAGTTCATCATAAAATTACGAGACAACTCGTACTGGAAAAGAGTATCGGTATGTTCCACTAGTTACCTGAACACTTACATAATAGGCTAAGGGCAGCTTCAGAAGCAGTGGAGCGCATTACTTGTCGCGTGGCATTAATGATGAGGTGAGGCCCTCCGCACCATGCTGTGACAAGTTTTGGATTTAATTGTGGTGCCAAACGCGCGTCTGCGAGAAATCAACCCCGGGAAATCCCGATGGCAACGAGGAATTCCAGGAACTAGACCACAAACGCTTCCCCGCTCTCAACTGTCCTTGTCCTGTAGGTTCCCTGCTTACGGGTACAAGCACAGCAGAGGTGTAAATAGTTGCGCCTTTCAAGCACTGTTAATATTCGCAGGCAGTAGCAAATGGCAATGAAGCTATGGGGCAGACAGCGTATATTCTTGAAGTGTAAAGCTAATCGCGCTCTGCATTGAGTAAAAGGCAAGAGCAGCTCAAACATGTGGTCAATACCTCTAGAATGTGCAGTCAAATAGCTTGTTGTAATTTTTCTGCCAGTGTATACCCAGATCTGCTACAAGAATATGTGGAGGCTCAAAGCTTGATAACTAAGGACAAATCACACTGCAACACAAATAGCTTGAACTACCTGTACACGCCGTGCTCTTCCCATCATCAGAAATTCCGCATGCTTACTGGGTGGTGGACCCTTTAGGTAAGCTATCTCCCTCTCCTCAGCCTAACCCCCCGCGAAGATCCACTGTGCCAATACACAAAACGGGCACACACATCATGTGGCTTGGGATCAGTGATTGATACTATTTTCCGTCCAAATATCATTCTTTTGCATGGCCTTTAAAATAAAATTGAAGGGAAGGTACCATTGCAAGCCCCTTGCGAGATTCCGCAGATTCCTCTCCGGGACCTCAAGCCACGCCCGCCTTTCACATTTGGACTAGTGCGCTCTAAGTGCACTCAATAAGCGAATATAAAAACAAGCGCATGCCGATATGCTACTACCAGCTTTTGCTACCGAACATAACAACCAGGGTCTAAGGATGAAAGGGTGTAAGCTCGCAAATGGCAAATTCCGCCCCACATGGTACCAGAATTTTTTTGCGGTAAAGCCACATTTCAATACACCTTTGACTGCATTAGTTATAGCTAGCTCAGGCTATTAAAGAATTGACTGATTGGTGTGTCGGCTCATATTTATTATTTGTCGCAGAGTGTTGTCAGCACAATGCGGCATGACACAATGTTTGTGCGTATGCGCCAAGAATTATATGTAAGGAGTTGTAAATGGTTGAAGTGCTCGAAAGTTCTCCTGAAGCCACTCAGCATTACTCGAGTAAGTTTTCATCCAGTCCAGAGCTACATTTCGCCCTCCGGAAATTTTTTGATATAGCGTTAGATATGGTAGCACAGCGTAGTTCGACGTAAGAATACAACAGAAAGTGCTCAATATGTCGAAAGCCAAGGATCCACTAGACGGGAGTTGTTGATAAAATGCATTGGGAAATGCCAGCCGTTGTGTTTGATGGAGGGGCAGCTGCGGGCTCCCTTGCCTGAGGGAGAATTTTGTGAATCTCATTTGTTAACGAAGGTAACCGCCATGGACGGTATCCCTTCTGTTCTTTAGTATTTGTCCTTCCTCAGGCCACGCTCTGCCTGAAATAGCTCCCCATACCATCGGAATCACTTGAAAGGTTGTTGGTGATAACTTCCCTGAAGATTTTCTCTACTCTTCGATGTGCGATCAGGAAACCTCAGGCATGGTTTTACTACTTTATTCTTGTACCTCTTGTGAGGCTTGGACACGAAGATGCTGCATGCTCAGCCTGTATTTGCATGCAGGCATTGCTGCACTCCAGAACGCGGAGGCATTGCTGAACTAGTGGGAACTCGGAAATCGTTCGCATGTATTTTCTGACTCCTGTTTTCTTGTTACCGGAGGCCCACGAATTCCAGGGCTTCGACAACGGTAAGGTATTGCGCCACTGTGGTTGGGCTGGTCTGGTTCTTCGCTAGTTGCTTAATAGTGTACGTGCCTGTGTTCCATTCGATTCGACTTCAAGCGTTGATTCACACACTTGCGCTTTCTCCATTGCGCTGTTTTTGCACTTTTACCTACCTGGGTACTGGCAATATGGCGGGAAGTCTTACACTGTCCCGCATAGAATTGGTCTTGACGGACAGGTACGACAGACGAGGGCTTGCTTTTGAAATAGGAAAGGCAGATGTAAACTGCATAAAGCTTCTCTCCACATTAGCTCTATTTAACTTAGAATCAGTCAAGTGTTAGCAAAGTGTTTTCCCCGGTGGTACATGTTGTTTCTTGTAGATTACTATTAGCTTAATACAACACGATGAAATGTTTTCTGTGTGACGCTAGACACCGTAGGCAGCTAGCCGGTACTGTTCGGAGTGCTTAGAGGATGCAGCTATAGGTACTCTAGCTGTGCCACTCCTGTAGCGTAGGTAACTCTGAGAGGTACGACCCAGCAGAATGAAGGAGCCTTTTGGATAAGGATTCATAGTTTTTAAAGTGTGAATTGGATATGGAGGAGTACGTCTCTTCCGGAGACCCTTATGGATCGTTACACAAGCTATGCCCGCATCGCCATCCATTTGTGCAGTAATTCCACCACGATTCGAGGCATGTTCTACCATTGGTACACTGCCTTCACCAAAAATTTGGGCATTTAGAATCTCTCCCATGGAGGTTATTCTGCTTGGTTCTTAGCCCATTTTGGGGACTGCACTGGTTTGTTGAAGCTCTCTTGGCCCATAACTGTGCTGCACATCACTGAAGCGGTGTTCACATTGCTATATTCAACTCTTCGACAGCGCATTATGCAGTGAACAAAGAGGCAGCACTTGATAAGCTTGTGTATGGCAGCACATAGGGGAACTTTTCTCCCCACTGTCCGAGCCTACAAGACTGGATGGGCATCAAGTTCGGCCACTGGAGCTATAATACTGTGGGGAGAATAAAACTGGTGCTTGGCGCAAAAAGCCCCATTTTATTGTGCCAGTGAAGAAGCTGAGGTCCTGGGCTATCTCCTTTGTCTCTGCTGCACAGCATTACGTTGGCATTCATCGTAAGGCATGACTTACCCAAAGAACTCGGTACTTGGTTGTAAGGGAATCCAGATTAGGCGCCACGCGCATACTTTTCCCTTGGGGACCGCTACCCGTGCTACCCGAACGAGTGCATGCGAAGCTATGCTTTGGACCATGTCTCTAATTCGCTTTATATGCTCAACTTAAAGCTTGAATGTTTTTAAAAAGGAATTAATGCCTATATCTGGCCTCGATTAAGAGGCTTTTAGCCCAACCTGTCTGGGGCTTCGCCCATCGCTGCCGATGCATTGCCATTAGCATACCTGACAATTGGACGGTCTCTGTCTGATGAGTTTACACTCATGGCTTCTATTAAGGTGAAATAGCTAGAAGGGAATGACCAGTTCCTTATGGAACAGCAAACTTTCCACATGATCCTGATCATGCATAGCATGCTCTGTACACTGGAGTGGTCATGAGAATGATTCCCACTCTTTAAATTGGCGATTCGACTTTAGCAACCAATTTCGAAGAAGCGTGCATGACATTTGAGCTCGAATTTGCTGACAGCAGCGCTCCTTGGGATTACAACCTCGTTCGTTCCGCAATCGCTGAAATCACCCCTAAGGGAAAATGGCCGAATTCGAGGAATCATTGGAGGAACTTCAAGTATGTGAAGTCCACGGGTTTCTCATCTGCTCGCAGCGATGTAGCCTCTTCTTTAGGAGGCAGGATATTGCCTTTTCATAATAGGCTGTGCTGGCCTTTCCAGTCCGCTACCGTTACCCATTTGGGGATTGTAGTGGCTAATGTGCTGTACGGAAGTGTCCTGGGAGTGTTCTTGCTCAAGAGTGAGCGTGGGCTTTTCCTACCCTAGCATATGTGCCCTGCGTGTTGTGTTGCTTCGAGTACCATGTCTGTAGGCTGCATCGCTTCATCTGTAGCAACCGAACACCTTTTGTAGGTATGCACTTTGGTGATTTTGCTTTTAGGGAAAGCAGAAGCTGTACGAGGAACAGCTACAGCAGGTTGAAGAGGCACTGAAGCAGGAAGAAACTGAAGACTTGCAGCGCCTGCGGGCGGACCTCAAGGAGGTGATTCAGCTAACAAAGCATCTCGTTGAGTACAAACAGCAGCAGGAACAGCAAGTGCTTGAAAGTCAGGCCGCAGTACTGGCACCAAGTGAAGCAACGGCACCAAAGGAAGCACAACCGTCAGCCACAGTGGCAAGAGAGCAGCCTGTGGGCCCCACAGAGACTCCCGCACCTCCAGCTTCCGCCTACGAACCAGCAGGAGGCACACTTGTAGGCAGGACTTGTTCAGCAGAATATGAAGGCAAGAGGTACTATGCTTCCATAGTGGAGGTCAAGCGGGACCCAAAGGTATGTGTTTGGTCCCTGGCAAACCCTACAGACGCTCACAGTTTGCTTTCTTGTGGCCACATTCGATCAGCGAATGCGACGACAGTACATAATTATCGATGCTGTAAAAGGCCCTCGGTTGTCATGATTTAGGCGGTCCTACGATTTGCTCGGCGAATTGCAGGGCATGCGTATTTGTTGTGTATGGGGGGGCTACTGGGCAAGCTGCTCTGTCGTTATGGGGCCGCGGTGTATTTCCAGAAGTACCAATATGTCCTTGTCTGTACACTGCTTGCCTCAGGAAGGGGAACGGGTTGTTGTTGATTTTATTGGATGGGGCAACAGAGAGGAGTATCCGCTGCAGCAGGTGGTGCTGCTACCTCAGGCGTCAGCCACCGACTTCCCGGCTGGTACTGCAGCGCAAGCAATCTATTCAGGGGATGGGTGAGAAGCCTCTCATCTGAATAAGTCGTTTAGATTTCAGAAGGGGCAAGGTTGTTGTCATGCAGGTGTTCAGCGATAGATTGTCTTCGCCTTTAAAGATGTCTGCTGATGGCGGCAGCCCTTTTTTCTCATCCTCTAGGTTTACCCTACTATCACGTATAGTGTATAGAGGCTAAGAGTCGCATAGTGCACGAATAAAACGTGCGTGGATAAAACATTCATCGCGTAACAGAGAGCTAATTAGAAGAATATCGCAACGAAGCATGCAAAGCTTTCCGCCCTCTGTGTGTGGTCAGGCGTTGGTATGACTGCTCCATCATCGCCGCGATGCCATTCGGCTTTCGCGTGCGTTTCACGGACTATAAAAACGAAGAAGAACTCCCAGGGGACAGAGTGCGGGCCCCGAGGAAGGCAGCTCCCAAGAAGAGAGCCAATGATATTATCACGCCTGGTGGATATAGGATTCCACAGTATCTAGCTGCCAAGCCCACAGGTAGAATTTGACACCCGATAGGCCGCGCAGAATATGGGCACATACTTTTGTCTCACCTTTAGAAAGAAGATCTTGTTCTTAGGGATTTGTGAACAGATGCCCTTTCCGCGTGCATGTTGCAGACACCGAGGCACAGAAGAACAGTAAGAAGCGAAGGGTCAAAGCCATCAAGCAGCAGCAGAAGACGGAGGAAGCGGAACACCAGCTGGCAAAGAGCGCCAAGTCGTGGCAGCAGTTCAACAAGAAGGTGCGTAGCTACCTCTCATCTGTCCGTAGGACGAGGTTGTTGCAAAAAGGAATTTGTTCTTTTGTGCAGATTGTACATATTTTTGCGCTTCGCTTGCGACTATGCTGGTGAATGGAAGTGTTTTGTTTCCCAGCTGTAGTGTTTGCACCGCCTCTGTTTGTGCCTATTTTAGCAGGTAGGGGAATATGGCCTTTGGGTGATTGTGAGCTAGGAAGGGCCTGCGGACCTTTTCTCCGTGTCTGGTGATTTTGTATGGGCATGAAGGTCTGTGCGTTGTTGTATGTGCACCTCTGCTTACTTTGTCCAATCAGGCGGTTAGGAAGACAATGCCTGGGTTCATGACTGGGAGAGGTCACGAGAGTATCTTTAGAGGAATTGAAATTAAGCCGAACATCAACCCTGTGGAGGCATCTAGACAGTTGCAGCTGCAGCAAACCTTCATGCCCCGCAGGAAGCACGATTTCGACGAGGGAAATCTTCCAGACGACTGAAGGAGGATGATATTTGTCTGCCTGATGGTAATCAGCACATGTAAGCAAAGCAGTCGCAACAACTATGCATTCTTGACTCCCGTCCTTCCTTTCGTCGGACTGGTTGTGGTCCTCTCTCCGTGCAGCGGTTTACGTCACGAAGTAAATCGTCATTTGGCAGAGGGGAAGGCAGGGAGATAACCAAATATTTGGCGGTTCGTATTTTCAGTTATTCTCTTTCTTTAGTTGCTTCACCTAAGGGGGAAGTAGCTTCTCTGTATCAGCTGTTGTACTTTGATTCGCATGGGGTGTTATTCCCACTCAGCTTCTCAGCGTACTTACGTAGGATTTTGCAATCGCTTCCACGGGAAACTCATTATTGGCTAGAGTGAGAGGTGTAGGGCAGCAATAGTAGCCTAAGAAACTTTGAGCAAACAAAAGGATGCAAGCGTCACAATGGCTTTTTCTGTCAGAGGGCTATACATAAAATGGTGCAGTGCGCCACATTGCTTTCCATTGAAACGAAACAGACCATTGTGCCTGTGCGGTATCACGGCGTGTTTCACACGCTTCACAGTATAGGTAACCAGTTTACTCTTCAAAGTGGTCGACGGAGTTAAATTATGCAAATATTGCCTTCCCTGAGCGTCTGGTCATTTTACTTGATGTGCCGCTTCACATGCAAGAGTTGCTGGTGCTCTCCTATCGACGAAGGTGCGTCTCTCATTTAAACGCTTACGTATAGGGCCTCAAATGCACTGAGACAAAGGGCCCTCGTGCATATCAGCTTCCTGCGAAGTGCAGTGCACAAAAAGTCACCTCTAGCCCACCCCTCAAAAACGAGTGCACGTGCTACTCAACGGTGGGCATGGGCTAGCACCAGAACCCTCTTGCAGGCACTTCCCGTACTGCCCACGAGTGATGAGGCCCTTCTGTCATCCCGTGACTGTTTTGGATACCCCAGGTATATTATCATTTTCCTATGGCCTTCAAGGGCAAGGCTTGCGCTCAGAAACTTCAAAGCCTCATTGGGCATGTGAACATCGATAACAGGTACCGCTACACGCTGCATTCATGTCTTCATTGCGCTATTCTGAAGTGCAGCCCAGTCCAACAAGCAGCGTAACGGCCATTAATACCCTTGCAGCCGAAATTATCAAAAGAATATTTCTTTCTGGATGCACGCACAACGATGGAACGTTCGCCAGCAAAGCTAAATGAATAACATGAATTTTGTTCGATGCAAATTGTGTACTCCCAGCTCCCGATGATAAAACACAGCACATGCATCTTTCTCTACGTCATACTGCAGTGTGTCGTTTCCTATTCCAACCATCGGAGTACATAATACGGAAGCTAAGAAGACTGGTGCTCGTGTGTAGGGTTGAAGTAGGATGTGCTTATCCTAGTAGCATGCACTGCTCTATGACTTCTCCGGGGTGCATACCCCCAACCCCCGCGTGGTGCTGCGGCGTGTGTAGAACATAACACCGTGTTACTCGCTCGTACGGTGATTTGCGGAAGTACGAGAGAACCCAGATGGTTTTGCTTAAAATTCCAACGCGAGGCGCAATGCCCAGAATGAGACGAAAAAACACGCAGCTGCGTGAGAAACACACCACGCGCCACGGCCCCGAAGACCCAAGTCCCACAAGGCATAGAGGCGACATCGTATGCAGTTGCCCCCGTCTAGCTGCCCCTCTAGCATCCTTGCGGGGTATAGCAGAGTAACGTAGGGCATGTGTAGGATGAATGGGAGCTGTGCCGGCTCTGTGCAACAACGAAAATCAGCACACAAAATGAGTCATGCTGCTGCCGTTTGGTTCGCTATTGCGCTGCACGCTTGCTTGCTGTTTCCTCCACCCTAGGTACACCGTGCCGCCCTCCCGCGCTGGGGCCTCCAAGGTCTCCACTGTTCGGGGTCAGTGGGTTCTCGCTGCTGCGTGGCTGCTGCGCGCCAGCTTGTACCGGCAGTTCGTTGGGGGGCAGCCGCAGTGCCTGCGCCCGTCCCGAGTGCCAAATGCCGCAGCTGCTCCTCCTGTTGCTGCGGAGCAGATAAGGGTCCTTGCCGTTTGCACGACACACAGGAGCAGTATCCAACGATTGGAATCCAGTCAAACGGAGTCCAATGCAACTTGGGCTGCTGCTGCAGCGTCTCGACGAAGAGACCTCTGAGGTAGCTGGCAGCACCAAAGAGTCACAACAACACAAGAGCTTCACACTATGTTTCTTGAGCACTACGCGAATCGCACGAACTTTCTCCACGGGCTCTGTATATACGTAGACAAACCGCCTCCCCACACTAGCCTACACGCAAACAACTGCAAAGCACCGGCGCCGACAAACACGGGCAACATCAGACGCGTCTGAGATTCACCTGTGGTCCGGTGCATCGGCGAAGTGCAGGGCTCTGCAGTAAGTCATATAAACGGAAAAGCACTGCGGGAGGCCCGCGCAAAGGACGTGCAGATCAACGCTCATTTTGGTATGTGTTATCTTGGAGTATTTATCCCTTTTGCTAGTTGCTTTCAACCCTTGCCAGGGGAGAGATCCCCGCATGAAGTATAGCAGGACGTAGCCCAAACCTTCTAAATCGTCACGGCGCGCCTGCTCTACGCCTGCCGGTCACAGAAATCACAATGCACGGCGGCGTTATGATGAGGCCACCTGAAGGATGGAATACACTGCACGGAATTTCCATCTGAAGAAGTGACATCCAGCTACGCCGGGATATGCACTCGTCCGAAACAGGAAGAAAATGCATACGCACAGCAGCGCTGGATGTAGAACCTCACGCTCCCCGTTCCCCCACTGGGTAGCAGTCCGAGTACTAGATGCACGCGGGGAGATATGCTAGGAAAAGTCGTTTCATGAAAAGTTCGCCACGCAGAGGAACCCTGGCGCATCGACGACCCAGGAGGGCAGCACTACTATCGCCTTCCTGTTTTGAGGCATGCACCCTGCAGTCCTGCACTGGCATAAATATAATGAGGCACTAAAAAGAGGGAGGACTATCATATTATTCCTTAATTAAATGGTAGTCTTTACCCAAGTGCGTTGCCAGCGAGGCATATCTGGCCGTGCCAGTGAGGTTTTTTCCTTCCTTGTAAGGGATGTGCTTGCCCTGGGCGTCTCTGTACTTCTTCGCCAGACCGAAATCAATTAAATAGATCCTCATACCGTCTCCATGGCGTCCCACCAGAAAGTTGTCTGGCTTCACATCGCGATGTATGCAGTTCCTCTGGTGTATGTACGCCAAACGATCCAGCTGAAAACGCAGATACAGGCAACAGATGGTGATAGAAATGGATGGATGCAGAGGAAAAGATGCACAATATGGCCACAACATACCAAGCGAAGGCGAGGAAATAGAAGAGTCGACATGGTTCACCCATGGATATAGATTTAAACAAAAGGCAAAGTCCCATGGAGAAGCTTAGGAGATCGAGGTGGGAGCTAGGGACCCTCAGCATCTTGTCCAATTAGGTGGTGGCATATCTGTCCTCTATGTGTGCTGCAGCTAATTAGGCGCCTAAAAAAATATACACTATGCTGCGTGCACTCCCCCAGCCGGCGGACGAGTTCCCCTGCATCCCATGCACCAAGCACGGAAGGACAGGCGGCTATTGATCAGAGGGACTCAAATAGATTAAAAGCATTAGGCTGCCCAGAAAACACGGGAGTCCCACTAACCCGCACGATAAGACCTATCTATATACAAGTATAGAAAACAGATACGTATTGAGGTGCGCTTCCAGGGTCCTGCACAATGCTGCAAGCTGCCTCCGCGAGCGAGTAACACGGCCCCTATTATGCCTTGTTAAAGCTTTTATTCGGGCGAGGAAGTGCGAGAGGACATGCGCAAAAATAAGGGTCTTTGGCTACCATCTGAATGCCGAGCTGCAGGACGGTCGGAAGACTGAAGACGCGTTGAGATGCGTTGAAAAGATACTCCAGCGAATGACCAAGACGCTCCATCACCATCACGTGCCATTCCCCCTCCAGGCCATACCAGTAGCATACGGGAATGCCCACTGAAGATCGCAGCAAAAGCGCGTCATACAAACTAGCTACACCTTTCAGAAAAGAAGCAAGGCGAACATGCATCCGAGTATGGGCCCCACGAAGCCCAAAGACAGTAACACATGCACGCCACACGAATTACGTGCACAGTGCAAAAAGACACATGCATAAAGCGAGCGACAAAATGGCAGTACGGAAAACTTCGTAGCACTGCATAGGAGCATCCCAGTAGCGTCAGATTCTACACGTGCATCCACCAACCCGCTCCACCCTGCGAGTGCGTGACACCACGGGAACTTCACGCAAAAAAAGAGCAACACATGCAGATCATCATCAGCACCAGAAACTCGGCACCTGTGCATCAACGATCAGAGGCTGGGCAGGGTAGCGCTGCAGGTAGCATCTACCTTGTGGCTCGTACGGTGCTCACCTCCGCCTTGCAAGAACTTGATTATTCGTGCCTCGTAGAGCAGCTGCGGGTGTTTCGTATTTGCGGGCTCCAGCTTTATGGCTACTTCTCTGCCCCTCTGGTCCACCCCCTCATACAGACACCCAAAGGAGCCACTCCCAATCTTACGGCCAAGTCTGTACACGCCATTTACGCACGTGGGTGGCGCCAGGTGATTCCAGCCGACACGAGAAAAGGGCTGCTGGATACCACCTGCAACGGCGGCAACTGCACCTAGAGCTGGGCCTGCAGCTGCCGCTGCTGCTGCCGCCGCTGCAGCAGCCGCTGCTTCCGCCGCTGCTGCAGAGACGGGCGCTGCTCCGCGCATGCCACCCACACCAGCCCGCGTGGGAGCAGCCGCTGCAGCGGGAGCAGCCATGTCCACTGGCATTCCTGCAGCAGCCGTAGCTGCTGCTGCCGGGATCGTAGACACACAGAAAGCCCTGTTGTTGCCTTCTTTACCCTAGTGCTACAGAGCAACAACAGTCAGCTTCGTGGACAGGCTGGCGCTGCCTGCCATCAAGTGAGGAAGGCACGAGGTGGAGTCCAAACAGCAACCGCATGAATAAACAGCAGCCAAAGGAGGCAGAGAAGGTCTCGCATACAGCACAGGCATGGTGTGCCACTTCTCAATGAGTTGCTGGTGTGGGGTCCTGAAGGCGGGTAAAGGGCAGGTGCCCACCGAAGCCCTCCTACGGCCAATTGCTCTTGGGGGCTCTCTCTGCTGCTGCAACTAACAAAGATGGTATTGATGGAAACTGTAACGAAGAATGGGAATAGAGGGAAGATCGTGCAGAGGCAGTAGGGCTGCTGCTGCCTGCAGCAGCCGTGCCGGGTGACGCACAGAAGAAAATCGAGGAGAGAGGATGAGGGGTAGAAGCAGCGAAGCAGAACCAGACAATGCCCTATCTTTCCAGTGCAAGGAGAAGAAAAAGAGAAGATGAATGGCCAGTCACCCTTGCTGCTGTGATGAACTATTGCGGCGGCAGGGCACGACGTCGGCTTCTCCGTTGGAGAGCTCTAGAGCTCCTGTTAAAGAAGTGAAAGGCCGAGGGGAACGGGCATCATGACGAACAGAGCTGAGGTGTAAAGACAGCGCAGCGCCGCCGCATGAATTGCCGGACGGCGGGTGGCGTTGTTTGAGGCGCCGCAGAGAAACAACTGCTTTCCCCGTACTCTGATTCTGGGGCCTTTCCCCTAATATTCCATCGGGCTACTTGATCTGTACAAGCAAAAGCAGTGTGCTCTAGCCCCAAACGCCATTCTTGCCTCCGTACTGTTAGGCTTAGCTGCTCTTGGCTTCCCTCGCCACGAGAGGCGCTCAATCCGATTTGTACAAAACGGCTGGAACACAGAAAGCGCTTACCTCCAGTTAAAATATATTTGGTGCCCAGCAAAATACAAACAAATGTATAAGGGCTAAACATCTTCTAGAATGCACCATAGAGTATTAACAAACACAAGTGTGCCCTCCAAGTCATGCACCTGTCATTTGTACTGCAAGTTCATTTCACTTCATTTGCAGCCAGTTGATGCCCTTTATTCTAATGTTCATTTGGACTGGCATCCTTTTTGGAATGTTCGTATACCTAAGTCGACCAACCCACCACTACTATTTCACGAGGAGGGCTCTTCTTTGACTGCCCGCCATCTGGAACCGAATGTAGAGTAGCCTGCCGATAGGGCAATTGAGAGTCCGAACATGGACGGGCACTTTTTGCGTTTAAAATGCTCGAAATTAAGCGTGAAAAGCTAAGAAACTGGCCCATCTGTTCCCCTGTCTGTACCAAGGCAGAGTTTGCCTGCAGGCAAAGCTACATTTTGGCGCTTTCTACTCTACACTTGATTCAATTTAAAATGAAAAAGAATTGAATATTTATTCCGGCCTATTCTCTCTGCTACAAAGTATCGGTAGCTAACTCAATACATTAGCAGAAACGCTGGATGCCTGCACACGGAGGTGCTCGGTGCAGCTGGATGCTGATGATTGCTCAGAATGCTTGCACTGCGTGCAAAAACGCCCATGCCACACAGTAAGCCATCCCTCTGGCTCCCCTCCTGCCAGTATCCTATGGGGCGATGACGAAAGAAAAGGGGAAAGGCGCTGGTGGTGGGCCCAGGTATAATACTCTCTTTACTTACACCACTTGTATCTAACTAAGAATTATAGGGTATTAAATAATTGCTTTGCCTAATCGTGCTAATTTATTTCAGATCATTGTAGCTCGATACAAAAGGATGCAGTGTCGTATGCGAGTTCCCTTGATGCCATGTGCAATGGCTGTGAATTTGCGGAGGGCTTAGAAGGTGCAGCTAGGCGCAGCTTGATTGTCCCTCTCCTCTTAACTCGAAGAATATGAAGAGCGCCGGCTAGAAAGGGGGGGAGCTATTCTCAGAAACACTCAGTAACTTTCTACTTTGTTTGTATTACGTCTGGAGCTAACTGTCTGCCACAGGGACCTTTGACGGAGCTCTACTAAGGCAACTGCTCCTAACCACCTGTCCACAAACTTCATCTTCTTGGCACTTTTTGACACGTGTCCCAAAATCGGCCAAGTCTATAGGCCAAGACCAAATCTTCAGGCTCAGCCGTCCCCTGCGTAGCATGATTCCGTGCTTGCCTCTCTGGGGCTTTGCACTAGCACTCGCTTTCACTAGCCGGCTGTTTACATAATGCCTCTATCTCTAAAAGTAATTGATGGTATTGGACGACCAGGTTTATGCGCGGATTGGGGAGGGGCGCCCCAGTGTAGACCAGGAATTACGGAGGGCAACGCAGAGACGAATTGACTGCTGTACTACATACCCACTCGTCGCAAAGAACAAAATCAAGACAGTCAAGTGAACTCGTACAAGCGTAGAGTTAGAAATACTGCAGAAGAGTGCGGTTGATGTGTTCTCTCTGTCCATCTGCTTCAGAACGGTCGGCAGCGATCGTCTGGTGGTCAATTGCGTGGGCGGGTGATAAACGCACGCCAGAACCCACCAACAAACTTTGGATCCCTACCCATATCGCTCGGTCTTTGGAGATTCCCGGAGCTTAAGGATAACACAAACGACATTCTGAGCCATTGCAGACCTGGAACAGGCGGCGAATGGGCATATTTGCTGAGTCAGCCAACAGCGGTGTAGATGCTATCCGTCCTCGACCGCCAGCAGCCTAACAAAAAAAGCCCTTTTTCATATCAGTCCAGAGCCTGTAATGAGCCGAAAGGCTTTGCAGGAGGCTGATTCTAGAGGGACTGTGGCGCCTCAGCTGCTTGCAATCTGGGCAATACAGTCCATTCTTATCTGCCGCAGGGTGCATAACAGGGATTGGAAGAGCTTTTCCACCTTTTCTACTGTAGTGTGGATTTGGCCATGACCTGGAAGGTCATGGGCATGTGATGCTGCGCAATACAGCTCTGCAAAGCGAACTCGGGATGTTGAAGTGATGGACTCCCCTGTTTGCTTTGAACTACAGCAGGCAAGCAGGCGCCCAGTCGGCTGGCAGTTTGTCATTAGCTAGCATGTTTGCGAGCTCCTTCTTGATGTCTGCTCATTTCCGCTGCTTTTAGGCTGAACGTCATGTCAAATTCCTCAAGAAAGAAGCAGGTGCGAAGCCACTATGAAGCGAGCTCAGTCACATTTACTTTATACTACTCTAGTCATATTTAGCTAAAAAATAGGGAACTGATAAATTATTGGCTGTCCGGCCGTATCTCTTGCTTATTGCAGAATCATCTTAGTTTGACACATGAAGGTGCAGTGTAGTGTCGGCATTCGTGGAGTGCTATGTGCAGCTAGCTGTGACGCACCTAAACTGTCTTCTTCCCTCCTGTGGGATCGTTGAGAGGGCAAGGGGAATGAGTGAGCGCGTTTGGAAATTACTACGTAATATTTTATCAAGTGTGCAGTGAGTTTAGGGTAAAGTGTCCCTCTACGGATACTTTTAGACAAATTGTGAGAGCTGGTAGCACCGCATGCAGCCGTTCCCGGTCGACCACTGGTTCAGGATGTAGAGGGATTTCAAGCTTTCCTAGAACATTTGTATGGCGACCGTAAAACCGGAAGACAATTCGGAAAGCAACTTTTGTAGGCGCTGGAATGAAAAGTCTCTGACGATGGATGTAGACGGTGGTACAACGCCACTTGGGGCAGGAGAGGCGGGCCTGCATGTAATAAGGACGCAATAACTCCACTGCTCGTAGAACATCACTGTACTTAGCTGAAAAAAGGTTTAAAGATGCCTCGATAAGTTTATGCATACAAGGAATGTATTGCGGCCGCATGTCTGGGCAAGTATGCGAAGATTTGATCAGCGCGTTGGAGACGCGCCTCGCGTGTATTCTCGTTATAAATAGAAACGACTTTCCCTTGCGGCACGCTTAATTAGGGGAGAATGCAGGTCAATTAGTGACTCTACTCACGCAGGAGAAGTGGTCTGGCTGCAGAGGTTGCCACAGTTCAGGAATTCCAACCCTCGTTGACTTCGTCTTATGCCGAAATCAGCTCAACAGCTTGCATTCAGAAAATTGAGAAAGCTCAAGAGCGAAAATCTACCAACAGATCGGCATACCGAGAAATGTGAAGCTTTGGCCCGCAAAAGCCAAAACGTAGACGAACTGCTGCTTTATCAGTGGTTTGTGGCAAAACTACACAAAGTGTCATACCAGGTGGTCTCAGCATCCACGGCAACTACATATCCAACAAACCGACCAGTGGAGCTTTCACACGTGATGCGCTGTTTGAGGTTTCAGGAGCACACAAGGGCAACACTTGCGCCACTGAAGGAAAAGAGGGAGCCGCCAAATAGGGATCTGCAACCTAGGAATCTTGGAGCTGCGTCAGCCGGCCCTACCCTACAGTCTAAGGTAGCCAAACAGACAAAGCCAGAAGAAACACGCGTTTCTCAGAATCCTCATACAACGTCACACCAGCACACCTGCTTGTATTGTGGGAGATTGGGTAATGTACCTTGAAACTGCAAGCGCATTCAGAAAGCCACAGAACCTGAACAACGGGACTAGGCCCAACGGAAGTAGGCTGCTTAGCAATCAAAGGAGGCGCGTCAGGGAAACTGAAAGCCTCTCACGCAGACTGCAGCGCAGTGAAAAGGGCTCGAGGATTTCGAACTGCAGTTGTATACCCACCCCGGTCGATTCTGCGCTTCCACAAATTTACGTCCGAGGTCGACAATCAATAGCGATACTTGCCGTTTGATGTGAAGTGGATGTGTTCTTCAAGGGGACAGCGCAGAGGTGTAATCTGCCAGGTCACTCGTTAGCGCCCTCCTTCAGACTCAGGTTCACTGACGGGCTGCTGAACGCAAGGATTGGGAAGGCTGCTGCAGGAAATGCTACTTCAAATCAGAATTGGATTTTTCGCATGGTCTATTGCTTGGATGTTAGATCCCTGAGCCGTGTCATAATCCAAGGCATGCAGTGGGTGGCCCAAGGAAAGGCTTATGCGGCCACCGCTTCGCGCTCTGGAGGTTGGTGTGCCAGGAGGTGCTAAACAAAAGCAACTCATGATCTCCACACGAAATATGTGTCTATTTTTCGTTGAGAGCTGCAACATCGGTACCTCAACAAGGCAAGGCACAGTCTTCATGCGGGAGTCTCAGCAGCATAGAAAGAAAAGACTGTTCCATGCGAGTCTCGTCTTTGTGGCTTTGCAGCTGCCTCGGGCATGGAGCGACACTGAACTTTCAGCCGAGAAACAGCAGGAACTGGCAACTGTCAAAGCAGAGTTATCGGATGTGCTAGCTAATGACAAGCTGCTAGCAGAATGGCCACGCTACTTACTGGTTGTCCACCGCACCGTATTGAACAGATCTCTGGGCCAGCCCTCAAGCTACGCTCCGGCGGTATCAGAAGCGCGAACAAATGACGAGTAGATCAAGTGGCTGGCAGATAACCTGTTAGAAAAAAGAGTTATAGGGCAGGAATCGACCAGCACGTTCAGCATAACCTAAGCAGGCGGCCTGGAAAAAACGCCATGTGGCGCTTGTCGGTTCGCTCTGAGCCCCTGAAATAGATTGCTGGGAAGCAGAAACTTTCGATGCCTCATATCGGTGGGCTTATCGACGAGTTACATGGAGCAAAAGTGTACTCGAAATTTGGTTTTATAGACTTTTTCTTACAAACTCTGCTCACCATGATGACGGGCTCAAAAAGGGCGTTGGGACAAGTACTCGCAAACTCGTGTATGCCTGTATGCCGTTTGAAATTTTTCAAGGACGCCTGAAATGCAATGCCAAGGTAGTTGAAAGTTTCACTAACCTATCAAGGAATGCTGGAAGGCTGTCTACGTGCAAGATATTCTAATATTCAACCGAATCATTTAAAAGCACCCACGATGTTCGCTTCAGTCAATGGCGAACGAGCAATGGCATATGAAGGCATGAAAGGCTTGGAATAATAAACCACCGATATTTCTAGGATTCTCCATCTCGGCTGAGAGTTGATCCAGATCTGGCAAGAAGTGGAGCAAACAAGAGGTGGTCTTCATCTTTTCGTACCTTCAAGAAGCTGTGAACCTTTATTGGTTTGCATCTTATTGCCAAAATTCCATTCCAAATGTGCTCTTATTGCCACTCTTTTGCCAATGTTGCTGAGAAAACTCAGTGCATGACCAGGACAGCGAAGGCTGAAGCTGCATGAAGGACGTTAATATGCCGCTTAAGAACTTCTGTGGCATTTGCACTGCGCCAGTAAGAGTGTGATACTTTCTAACAAGCCTTACCAGGGACGTAACTGTAAATAATACCTTCTACTAGAATGATATATGCTCTCCAAAGCACCAAAGTATCGTTTGAATTATTCATTGTTCCACCGATGCCGAGCAGCGGTGTCCAGTACGTCAAAACACACTTGAATCGGTGTGGTAAGGCGTGAAAAAATACCTGCGCTAATAAATAAGCTTCAGCTTACTCTGCAGACCTGCCATCACTCCTTGATGTACCTTACAAAGCGTTTTTAAGCATGAGATTGATCGAGAGTTTTTCTCTTTCCTGGGCTCGTCCTGGAGTAAGACCGCGTACAGTGAAGCACCTCAAAGCATCACCAGCGTAGTCGCCGGCGCGCCATGTAATATAACCGTACACTTAAGTGTCTCAAGGGCACCGGTGTATTCGCCGGCACGGCCTCCTGATGCCCTAGCAGTTTACAATTGTGCAGTGCAACCGCTCTTGCCAGCAATGGTTCACGTTCTTTATCGAACTTGAATGAGTCTTATGCTCTTCAATTTCATGCCTCAGGTACTACTAGTGCCAAAATCCGGGACAAAGGCGCGAAGCGTTACCTTGTTAAGAAGTGCCTGGTGTGGTTTAAAAGCAAATAGGGGGTCTGTCAGTTCTGCATCCCTCATTCGGTTTCCAGTACTACATTGGGCAACCGCATGTGCCTAGGGCCTTCCAAGCCATGGTGGAATTCACACCACGGTGAAGATGCTGTTACGATCCTTCTGGTAACTTGCGATACGCCCCGAGGCAGAGAAGTATGGCCTATATTGCTCAGGTTGTCAGCAGGTGAGGCTGCACAAATTTTATAAACCCGGCCTTCTGCAAAGCCTTTCGGCTCACTAAAGGCTTAGGATTAATTTGACCAAGAGCTTTATTGTTGGGCTGCCGGACACCGAGGATGAGGATAAGAGCTACGTCGCTGTCAGCAGTAAAATATGCCCATGCGTCCCTCCTTCCAGTTTTGTACTGGCTCAGAAATTGATTAAACTATTCTTAAGGGCCGCCTGAAAGATCCGAATATCTCGCAGCAGTATCTATACGGGTAAGGATCCAAAGCTCGCTGGTGAGTTCTGGCATGCCTGCATCACCCGCCTAGCACTGGCCATAATATGACCACTGCAAGCCAACCTGAGGCAGATAGGCTAACAGAAGCTGCCAACTATACTCTTCTGCAGTATTTACGACTGTAAAATTCCAATCGATTATGTTCACGCTTTCCCTTGTGCCGTGTTGGCTTGCACACAATGGTACACTAGCCCATCGATGGTTCTCGCGCATCTTTGATCCACATTTAGGAGACCCTCGCCAATCCGGGCCTGGATCAGCTGGTTGGGAGTCAGCATCTCTGCGCAGTGGAGGGTGGAATTAAAAGTGTAGCTGGCTAGTCGGTGCTAATGTTATCACAAAGCTCAAGCACGGTGAGATGACAAGGGGAGTTAGGCTGTGTTCCTCGAGCCTGGAGACTTGCTCCCGGTGGGTCTGCATGCTTTAAAATATGCAATAGAAGATCCCTGGAGGCTTAGTATTCACAGAGGAGCCGTAGCAGTGATAGATTTTAGTACTAGCGTGGTGTTGGGAGCGGCAGCACCGGTGGCTGACGGAGGAGCAGTTGTGGATTTGGTTGCTTGCAAGAAATCCGTGCCTCTGTCTTGCTCAAAAGAGTTTCCCGAATTCACAGTATCCCTCTTGTTGCTTAAAAGTAATTGTCCTTCCCCGGTGCAACTTGCGCGTGAAATCGCTAGCTCCATCTATGCGTCATTTCTTGAACGTTGCCGGTTATCATTGTCAAGGTGCTCTGTACACTCAGATTTGTGTGCAGGCGGTCGCAGGTATGGTAGCCCTAATTTCTTCATTTTGCCGTCTTTGAGGCTTCAAAGCGACTACGCTGCAGGGACACACTGTATCTGCATGCAGATACTATTCCATGTGGGCGGTGGCACTGCTGAACTAGTGAGTTTTCATTTCTTCTACTCGTTTTACCTTTCTATTTCTGGTAGTGGAGGGCTCTCCCTTTCAGCACTTCGAACACAGCAAGCTGTTGCGCTGGTGCGGTCGTGTTGGTTGGTCCCTCGTTATCTGTTAATGCACACACCTGTTTTCGCGTTGGTCCCTACCTGTGGAGTGCCAGCAGGGTGCAAATCTTCGGCTGTCCTGAACGTAGTTGGTCTTGACGTGCGGATACTGATGACGAGGTCATGTGTTCAAATTCGGCCGGGCAGCGCGAAAAACAGTCGACGACGTTGCACTTTAGCGTTCACTGCTACACTAACTATATTCGTTGAAAAATTGGTTAAACGCTGACTACTTTGTTTGACCGCTCGTATATCTTTCGTCCTTTAAACTATTGTTAGGTCCTTGTAAAAGACGCAGTGTTGCGGGCATGTGCGCTGGAGGTGCGTGCTTGGACGATGCAGCTATGAGAACCCTTGCTGTGCAGGGCTACCCCTGTACCTGAAGTATTTGTTGGAGTATTCGGCAGGAACCAGCAAAATGAATGTAGGTCAGGGAGGATAGGACGGTCTTGTAATTAGATTTAACAATCCCTTAAGACAGTGCAGCTCTGCTATCCAAGTGACGAGCCACCGCCATGGAACACACTAAGTCATGAGCACAAAAAGCAAGAGAGTAAGCGCATGAAGTACACGGGTTTTTTGTATGTTTCCGATAGAGCCATAGATACGAGGGCTCTCCCACCCTGCATACGGCAGCTCCTACAGTTGGGGTCATCGACCGATGCAGATATTACCATACACAGCAAGCGATACAGTGCATGGACATCCAGACCACATAGTGGGCTTAAATTAATAGTCAAATTTATACAAGACAATACTCTCAACCTAATTGATGGCATGAGATACATCTCACAGCATGAAATAAGGCTGCCGGTCCTCTGTTCTGCTGCCGGCACAACACGGCCGAACCCAACCATCGATACCAGCGCAAATGGTGCGAAGGAGAGAAGTAACTGGCAACAAGGAAGAGCTAAATATAACAAAGCCGTGGGGCTTACTCTATCTTACATGCAGGATTCAGAGCCCCAGTACTTGGGGTCTTCCTGGAGGGCCCGTGGGGTTCAAAAGGAGCAGGGCAAGGGGTGTTTGAGAGTGCGCCGACCGAGCACAGAAGATGAGGTGTAACTGGCTTGATGTTGTCGGTTTTCCGTCTGATTGGAGTCCTGAGACATTCGCTTCTTGCTTTCTGTTGCGTTGTATGCAGTGCAAGGGAGCGTCTTTCGAGGTGTTCGTTTAACTGCCAATCGGGTTCCTTTGGTGCACTTAATTTGCCTTCTCCTTTCTAATATCTGGAGGACTGGCTCTCTGTGTTGTTTTGTGGTGCATGTATTGCTGATTTGCTTCATGAACGATGGCGAGCAGTGCAGAGTTGGCCCAGGAGGCAAAGACGAAAGGAAATGCGGCATTTCAATCCGGCGACTTCAACGCTGCCGTTAGACACTTTACAGAGGCAATTGGGCATAGCCCATCAGATGCGGTGCTATACTCTAACAGATCTGGCGCTTATGCCAGTCTCAAGCAGTTCGAGAATGCTCTGAAGGACGCCGATATGTGCATACAGCTGAAACCCGATTGGGCGAAGGTCCGAAACTCACCCTCGCACTCAAGGAAGCTGGGTTGACGTTTGTTGAAGTGCTTCGTGGCACCTATCAGGGCAAATAAAAAAGCATAACCAACCCTTCTGGAAGCTCGCATTCCCGAGGGGCTGGCAGTTAATTTCGTGGGAGCAGCAGAAAACTCTGTTTATTGCCCCTTTGAATGCACTACATGGCCATTCTGTACTGCTTTGCAGAAATCTATACTCCTTTTTCACATTGCTAATATGATGATATGCTGTTTTGCCCAGGGAAAAATGCATGCCATGCGTCTGGTCTCAGCTTCACACTCCCTCCAAAGTGTTTGCCCACCCCAACCACTTTAAGACGCTACCGTTTGCGCCGTTGTGCTGATGGGAGTTCCGCACTTTCTGCTGTCGCCTGCCACAGGGCTATTCTCGCAAGGGTCTTGCTGAATTCAACTTGGGACAGCTACGCGAGGCCGAGGCAACATATACTAAGGGTCTCGCCCTGGACCCAAACAACCAGACACTGCAGGCAGCACTGAACGAAGTCAAGCAGAGTGAAGCCTCCATGCGGGAAATGCAAGCCATGATGGCTGCGACGCAAGCTGTCCGCTCCCATCCCAGACTTCAAAAATACAGTCAAGAAGATCCCGAGTACTTACAGAAACTTATTTCTCTGATCGGACAGATCCAGGCAAACCCAAACAACCTAAGGCTTATCCTAGCACAGCCAGTAAGCCACATTCCTCGGAGTGGCGCTCGCGCTCTTTACGGATGAGCCGCTCTGGACCGAGCCCGAGAGGTGGCCCTGAGGGGCCCAGGCTGCTGTGCATTCCTGCATTCCGCTGTGTTCAAGCAGCGACTGAATCGGTTGCCACAGTTCGAAAAGGAATCTTATGCACACACAAACCATCCCGACAAAGTGCTTTTTCCAAGTGATTCCTGGCGTTGGCTTGGGTGTACAGGATGTGCGGATCCGTGAGGGGATAACTGTGGCTCTAGGGGGCACTCTGGAGGAAGAAGAAGCGCCCCCTGCCCGGTCGCCGCCCCCCCCATCAGCCTCTCACGCTTCTCAAGCGCCCGCAAAGGAACTGACAGAGGAGCAAAAGCAGGCAGAAGAAAAGAAGAAGGAGGGAAATGCCTTGTACAAGGCAAGGAAGTTTGAAGAGGCCCTCAAAGCTTACGACGAGGCCATTGCCCTGGATCCTAACGAGCTCTTATATCTCAATAACAAAGCAGGTCAGGAATGCCTCCAACCCCGTTTTCCTGTTTACAGATCATTGTAAAGGGCAGTGCACTCTTATTGGGCGCGTAGACCAGCATGTTTCTTTAGTTGACCGAATACATGCAGTATCACATTGTTCTTCATACTGACTACGCTTGCTGTATCTTCGCCTTCCCTTTCCGCCGCTTCAGTGTCTGTGCGTTGCTGCTATGTTGTTTCAACGGGTGGACAGCGGTCTACATGGAACTACGGGATTACGATGCGTGTATCGCTGAGTGCAACAAGGCGCTGGAAAGGCGGTACGAAGTGAAGGCAGATTACGAAGTGGTGGCAAAGGTGCGAAATCTAAATTGGAGGCGAGCTCCTTGGTTTGGTGCCTCTTCCTCTGCTTTCCGTTTTCCCCCTTCCGCCAGCCGCCCGTAGACATCTTTCCACTATCAACCAAATCTCCCGCATTTGCGTCACGGGAGATTCATATGCCATCGAGGGCTGCCTATCTACTGCCTGCCTGTCTGTCGAGTCCCGTCTCATGAGGAGGCAGTGGGCTAAAGAGACTCTCCACACGCGCTGCTGCCCTGTTTGGGAGAAGTCTGTATCTGGTTCCTTGCGCTAAGGTAGCGAAGGGGATGGAGCAGCTGCAGCCTGCTGCTGCTGGTGCTTTGAAGCTGGCGTTCAAGGTCTTATCTGCCGAATGTATGTGCGTACCGCAGGTTTACAATCGCATGGCCGCGTGCTATACGCGCCAGAAGGACTATGGAAAAGCAATCGAGATGTATGAAAAGTCGCTCTGTGAAGCGAACAACCGGCAAACGAGGGCTGCCCTGGCGGATGTAAAGAGGCTGAAAGACAAGGCAGATAGGGAGGCGTACATTGATCCCGAGAAGGCAGAGGAACATCGGCAAAAGGGAAATGATTTCTTTAAGAACAACGATTTCCCGAACGCAAAGAAGGGTAGTCCAAGCCCCCCCTTTTCCCCGGTCTACTTTGCACTGTGGCATCTCCCCTCAGCCTTTCGCAGATGGAGCTTGCAAAAAAAAACGAAATCCAGTTCTTGCGATCCGCTGTATCCTTCCCCCAGAATACGACGAAGCTATCCTGCGGAATCCAAAGGACGCAAAACTATACAGCAACCGCGCGGCAGCCCTTACAAAATTGTTTGAGTATCCTTCAGCCCTGAAGGTCTGCCTTTTTTTCGTGCATATCATGGTGCTCGTTCGTGGTATTACCCGCTTCTCGCCATGTACTTTGCTAAGTTCGCACTTTACTGGGGGGTTGGGCCGTACAGTCGTCATCGCATCTTTCCCGCTTGTATGATATCCCAGGAACGGTGTGTCGGCTTGTTGGTCGTCTGTTTCGCTATCTGCCTCTCTGCAGCCGGTGCAATCTGGTTTGAGAATCATGTTCTCGGCAGTGGCTGTTTTTCAAAGAGCCCCAGGCTGCACCCGTCCCAGTCAGTTGGCTGAAGGGGAGTGTTGCCTTGCCACGCTAGGGGGCAGGCGAGGCCGAAAGGCCCTTGCCGTCCAACGTGTCTCTTGATGTCCTACTGTCGTGCAATGCTTCTGCAGGACTGTGAAACGGCCATCAGCCTTGACCCTTCCTTCGTGAAGGCGTGGAGCAGGAAAGGCACGCTGCATTTCCTGCTGAAGGAATACGCGAAGGCCATGGAGGCTTTTGACAGAGGCCTCGCCGTCGATCCAAATAGCAAAGAATGCATGGACGGCAAGATGCAAGTTGTGCGGAAAGTGCAGCAGCAGCAGCAGTCGGGCGAGGTGGACGAGGAGCAGATGAGGCATGCCATGGTACTGTTCAGTGAAAAGGGCAAAAGGCAATGCTAATGTTTCGAATCCAACAAAGTAGAGCAACATGTGCATACAGCCTCTAGGCATCAAATAAATCGTAGGTTTTTACTGACGTTTGTGGCTTTGTTGTCCCTCAGGCGGACCCCGAAATACAACAAATCTTAAGGGACCCACAAATGAGCATTGTGCTGCAAAATGCCCAGGAAAATCCAGCACTGTTGAAAGAGTCAGTCTCTTGTTGTGTCGCCTTATCCTGATGCCTTGAAACGAACTTCTTGCACGATATATCTGTTGCCCAGCTATGCAAAAGCGAAAGAGGGGGGACTATCGCCTCTTGGGGGCTGACTTCTGTCATAATGAGTTGTCTCTCTCCATGATTACCTAATGGAGCCACCTGCTGGTCCTCTGTAGTTGGTATTCTGTTTGCATATCGCGCGATGCTCATTTTAGTGGGCCAACGATGTTCTGGCAGCTGTTTCGATGATAAGCCTCTTTATGCGCACTCTAGTAGTGTTGGTGTACGTCTCAACTACCTGAGTACAGCCGCCCATATATCCTCGTCTGCTGTGCCTTGCGTTACTGCAGCTATTTGCAAGACCCTAAGATCAGGGACGGCATAAACAAGCTTATAACGGCCGGCATCCTAAGGGTGGCATGAATGGATGATGTGAACGGGGAAAAGGGTCTCTCGCAGTACACCCAACATCAATGATGCCAACGCCAATTAGCGTTCATACCATTAGTACTGATGTTTGATCCAGCAGAACTCGTGAGCGAGCTTCCTCGTAGCACCACCCGTTTGCCCCCGGCCAGCCAGACCAAAGGTCAAAGCCTGACAAAAAGCTTGCGGGGCGGCCGCGGCACTACCAGCTGCAACGCCTTTGCAGTGCCTCAACGAAAGGCCGACTAAAGCATCTTTTTCATAAGGCCCAAAACTGCAGTACGGCAGCACTAATAGGGCAGCAGTTGGGGACCGGCGGCAGCGCGCAGCCGCGCACGAAAGCTGCCGACATATCGTCGATCTCTTGCATGGAGCGCGTGTTGCTTCTGTGGTTGCAGTCCTCTGGAGGGGAGGTTGGGGGCTATCGGACTGCTTGGTGCCGCTGAGTTTTGGGGACACCATTCTGCCTAGCGTCTTTGCCTTTAGGCACCTTGTAGGGATAAGCTCGACTTCACAGCAACTATCGTCACTTTCTCCGCCAGACTGTGGGTGACATAAAGGCTGTGGATGCCCGCTCCTTGCACCAGCCAGAGTGCGGAGACTGCTACCTTCCCTGTAGCAGCAACGACTAGGAATGTGAACAGGTCCCACAGCCTTGGGCCATCGAAAGGAATTGTCCATAGGTATCGCCGAAACAGCGCAGTCGCCGTAGTAGTACGTAGATACCCACAGACACACCGGAAGCACATCAACGGAAAAGCCTAAATGGATAAGGCAAGGTGTAGATTTACTCCAATGAAGAAAGACACCAGCATTGATGGACCTCAACATATGAGGGGAATGTGCAATCAAGGCACTGGGGTTGATGGGGGAATGGGGAAACGCTGCAGAGACAGATATTTCAGAGGTGGGAAGCTGGGATGCGGTACTGACAGCTAGATACACATGGGGGGTCAAGGAGAAGGCATATTTTCATGCCAAAAGCCCTGCAGGAAGTCTGGCAACATTTCCAGCCAAATTGGTGTATTGCTTTTACACTAGAGACGGCCACACATTTCGCTCTTTCCGACAGGATGTAGTGGGCAAGGACACACTTACGCACCTCACTAGTGACACTTCAGCAAGAAACAGTAAGGACCTGACTATTAAATTTGTCTGTTCGCATATCTTACTGATTGCAGAGGAAGATTAGCTCGACCCAACATGGAACATGTGCGAGTGTGCTAGATGCTATGGTCAGCAAAGTGTGTAATGACTTGAGTGCATAAAGGGTACCGTGACGCTTAGCGTGTCTGTCCCTCTCCCCTCACTTGGAAACCCTGAGGGGCGCAGACATGGGAACGAGGGGTTTTTTCCGAAAAAGAGCCACTAACTTTCAATCAAGTTTGCATTGAGTTTTGAGTTTCAGAAAATAACTCTCAACAGAGACCTTGGATGTGGCGCTACAGTTCTAGCATTGCATGCTTTGATGCAGTTGTTCTCTGCTAATCTAGTTCCTGTGGATGCAGTGGAATGTTAAGTTTACCTACAACAGCTGTGTGTTTCCTATCGAGTTGTTTAATACGTCAATCATGGGTTTTTCTCTACGAACAGACTGGAAAAAGAGCAAATGGCGATGAACGTTGACAATGCCGCAAACCTTTTGGAGCAGGCAGAGGCCGGCCTTCAAGCTTATGTGAACGCAAGAGCTTCACGGCTGATGAAAAAACATGAAGGGTCGGCTGAAAAAGCATGTATGGATGCGCCGAAGTTATAGCTACCGCAAGAGTGGGCAAATGCGCAGAGATTTCACTAGGCGGTTAAAGATTTGCTTAGCATAGTGCCTTTGACAAAGACAGACGACTATTTATTTTCTGTGTTGTTTCAAAGGAGAAGCACTTCGATGGAGTAACGGCTCAACACTAAGCTTTGGAAGTACTCTGGGCGCAGGAATCGTGGATTTTATCAATACAACAAAAATCAACACACATTAAACTTCGGCCCGCAAAATGCCACAGCGTAGGCAAACTGCTGCTTTATTAGTGGCTTATGTCGATGATACATAAAGTGCCATCCCGGATGGTCTCTGCATCCGCAGCGAGTCACCGTTAGCACAACCAACCAGTTGTTCTTTCACAGGTAATTAGTCGCTTGAGGCTTTGGAAAATAAAATGTCGCCTAATATGCATCTAGGACCTAGGGATGTCGGACATGCGTCAACCGGGCCTACCCTAGAGTGGAAGGTAAGCAAGAAGATAAAGACAGAGAAAACGCACGCTCCTGAGCAGCCTCATACAACGTCGCACCAGCGTGCCTGCTTCTCTTATGGAACATTTGGTGACAAACTTCGGAACTTCAAGCGCATGCAAAAAGCCAATGAACCTAGACAACAGGACTGGGCCCAGCGGAAGTAGGCAACGTAAAGAGCAAGGTAGAACGTAAATTTGTGTAAGTACAGAATCGACCTGGGTGGGTATAAACCCGCAGTTCAACTTCCTGGAGTCCTTCTCACTGCGCCGCAGTCTGCATGAGCGGCTTTCAGTTTTTCGGATGTACTTTCCTTGCTCGCAAAGCAGCCTGCTTCCGGTGGGCCCAGTCCCATTGTTCAGATATCTGGCTTTCTGCATGCGCTTGCAGTTTCAAGGTACATTACCCAATCTCCCACAAGACAAGCAGGTGTGCTGGTGTGACGATGTATGAGGGTGCTCAGGAGCGCAGGTTTCCTCTGGGTTGCTCTTCTTGCTTACCTTACACTGCCACTTACGGCCGGTTGACGCAGCTCCGACATTCCTTGGTTGCAGATCCCTACTTGGCGGCTCCCTCTTTTCTTTTATCGAAGCAAGAATTGCCTCTGTGCTCCTGAAACCTCAAACAGCTTACTACTTGTGAAAGCCCCACTGGTTGATTGTTCAAACGCGGAGTCGCTGCGGATGCTGAGACCACCTGGTATGACACTTTGTGTAGTTTCGCTATAAACCACTAAAAAAGCAGCAGTTTGTCTACACTATGGCCTTTGAGAGCCAAAGTTTCACATTTCTTGGTATACTGATCGGTTGCTCAACTCCCGTGCTTTAGTCTTCTCAATGCTCCGAAAGCTTGCTGTCGAGGTGATCTAGGTAAAAGGATTGTACGAAGGACTTATCTGTAGCCATCTCTGCCAGCAGACCTTTTTTTCTGCATAAGTAGAGCCATTATGCACGTGTGTTCTCCCAGCAATAAACGTACTGCAAAAAACAATCGTCTCTCTTCATCTGTGGGGTAAAACAAAAGGGAATAACTCCATCTTGCCTTGCGGCCGCCAGCGATGTCCCTCAATCTAAGGTCACTGCAGAGACATACTAAAATGCAGAGTTGGGATTTTCCGATATCGAGATATGCGCTTCCTTAATTTTATCGATTGGCTTTTTGGCATCTGCTTAGCTGGTTCACACCTTTGCATCTAGCGCGCATGGAACCTTGAGCACTTCTGCAGCTCGCCTATTCCACGCCGCTTTCATCGATAGGACTGTCGAAACCTTCTTTTGGGGTGTGACAAATCAGTTAATAGACTCAGTTTCTCACAAGGATTTTCAAGCAGCCACAGTGCGAGCTCTGCCTCCCCGCATTGCACGAATACAGCCCTGCTGTTCCCTCTAGCGAATCTCTTTCGGCCCTTCAAGTTTAGTCTCGGAGCGAGCTAGTCACAGCCAGGTGTGTTCCTTTTAGCATAATTACCTCGGTATCACCCAGCCTTCACCCTTTTGATTTTGGTTGGCTCTGCCCCGCAAATCGATGATGCAGTATGCATGTGGTATGCTTCTGCCTCCACATGGCCCATATTTGCGGGCTCGCTTTCATGAGCCTCGCTAGTGGCAACATTTCAGTCACGCTAGTGCAAGGCAACCCACTTTCCAGTGTAAACTGTGAAGATACGCTGGAGTGCACTGACTATGCCACAGGGGCAGTAGGGAAACTGCTCTAGCGCCACGCTACTGGGTCTACGTTTTCGTTGCAATCACCAGCCGCCATCATGGCCCAGCTGGGGTGCAGCTTTCACGCCTGAACGCGCAAGTGAATTGCCTAAAGTAAAATTGGGGCGTTGTAGACTTCTTTAGCACTTTTTATCAGGCAGAGCAATGAGCGTGGCGCTTCAGCCTCCACAGAGAATGAATCCGACTCTGGTGTATTCCAGTGACTCTGAGAGGAGCCATCTTTATGAGCTAGTCTCATAGCTTCAGTGCAAACATTCTTTGTGCCGAACGATGGAATGCACATGCATTTGTGGAAGTAAGATTCATACAATATAGCAGGCTTCGCTACACTCAACCTCTGCCTACTACATAAGTTACCTTTAATAAGAATTAGAATAGACTTTACGAATTTGTCTGCCTCACCGCATTTATTATATATCAGAGTACTGTGTGCTTGATAGAAGAATGAGCAATATTGTGTGCGTGTGCGCTAGATGCATTGTGCACCTAGCTGTGGATGCTTGGAGTGCTTAGAGGGTGCACCTGCGTGCGCACCGTTTCAGCCTCCCCACTGAAGTCGAAAACTCCGAAAGAAGGCTAAATCAAAATGGGTGAGCTATTTTAATTAACTAAGTAGCTTCCTGTTAGCTTTATATTCAGTGTGGGGTGAAGTGTCTCCCTACGCAAGCCATACTAGGAGCATCGCAGTGCCCATGTGCAAAACGACTGTTTTAGAGGGTAGAACATTCTGAGATTAATAGGTTGGCAGCCTTGAGATTCATATCTCAGTCCTACATTAGCCCTTCTCAAGGGAAGGGTCGAGGGGGAGTAACTCTCGGGGTCAGCCCGGTGGTCCCTTGACTTAGATCACCACACAAGCGATGTAAACTTTGAGTACTGCCGTGGCCTTCACCGCATCGCCAGATGCGGCAGATATTACGCTCTAATTGTCGGGAATGGGAGTCAGTGCAATGGCTTTGTCGCTGGTTTGCTCCTGGCAGATCCGGCACCTTGCATTAAGGCACTCGTGGACATATCGTCAGCCCTCCGGCAGCAAGACCCATTCCGTTCTGGTTGGTATGGTAACACTTCCACGGTGATGTGGCAGTGCGAAATCACGTAAGTGCTTAGACTGAGCACCGCCGGTTGCCATGCACTGCAACCGGAGTTCCTGCAAAAGATCTATAGGGTAACTGGTGCCATGCGTGTTGCAGGAGGGCGACAATTTGGAAGATTAGTGGATTCGTTACTTCCTAGGGAAGTAATAGAAGCTCTCAAAATCGATTTCGCATTCCTGCTTTCAGCTGCTGCGCACGAAAATGAGGGCCTAGGAGTATTCCGCGTAGGGATGCTCTCGCCTCGGTCCATGGACTGTGTAGAAGTTTCTGGCCCTCAGTGCCCCTTTGCCTTAAATTCCAGCGCATCTCTTCTACGGATTTCAAAAAACAAATTGATCTCGTAGAACAGTTTTAACAGTTTGTGGGCCCGAATGCAGCTACCCACGCACCCCCCACGGGGCGGGTGGTCTAGCCCGTGAATCCAGCGGTGGTCCGAGGCGAGCCCAGCCCCCTTGAACTGATCTGCCTGCTTCTCTCATCTTCTTGCGTCGTATACTTCAGGGTGGCTTACTTCGCTTTCGTCAGAGGCTTCCTGCTTATATCCTGTGGAGTGATTGTTCACTCCCTTCCCTCCGACCACCCCTTGGACAGCCGAACTGGCTGGCGTGGTAAATCTGGGGCGGCTGGCACGTTCCCCCGCCGTCTTCCCCCAATAGTTCTGAGGAAGAAAAGCTCTTCGAAGGGCTGTATTATAAAAGAATTCTAATGAGGGACTCTGGTAATGCCTTAATAGACGAACCCTACTAGATGCCTCACTATACGAGCCCTTTATCCTCCGTCCGCGCTGGAGGGGCTCCTCCGCTTGCAGTAGCGTGCTCCTCTACTGAAGTGGCCAGTTTTTGCAGCTCCCTGTGCGTCTTCCAGAGTAAATCGGGATGGCTGCGGCAGCTGTGAGCAGCTGTTTGGTAGTTGTAGCACCTTCTGTCGATTACCCTGCCTCGCCATGATCCTGTACATTTTCAACGGTGTGACGTCTGGGTCAGGTGGCACAACAGTTCCACCCTTAATCTCAGCTGGCCTCTCCTTGTCACAGGTCCATCTCAAGCTTGATTGCCGTGGTTCCCTTGTTACTGGATCCCCTGGTATATTACTCCACGGGGCCTGAATACCAAGGGCCGAATTTCTTCCTTCGTCAGTCCTCATATAAGCCGATATCTTTCCTTCCGGACGGGCCCAATGCCTGGGCCGTAAGCCCCTAGATTTGACTTGTTCCCTACACTCAGCCGCCGTTTTCCCAGCGGCCAACGTATTCCTCCAAATGATCGATAGCAGCTCCCCTCAGGCCATCATGGGCCTTGTGAAAGGCGTTCCATCTCTGCACCCCGTAGGTTCTCGGCCAAAGCAAGAGGCTCCGAGCTCGCAGCTGGGCCAAACACAAGCGCAGCTACCTCACATTGCTGTTCAGCCTCCCGAGAACTTCGTCGGAACACCCAGCGTTCAGGAAGGTGGCGTCTCAACAGTTCGCAAGCGCCAGAGGGGGTAAGGCGGCATTTATTCTAAACAGGTTTTCTTATCAGTTTTATTGCTTCTACACAAATAACGGACCTACCCTCCTGTGTTGCAGCAGGGCCCGCTCACTAATTAAGCCCTGCCGTGATTGGGTCGTCTGCAGGGTCACTAGAGCCATCCTTGTTCATGTGGGTTGTCTGTACAGCAGCGAGCTGCCTTCAGGCGCTTCAGCCTTGGGACTTCTAGACGCGCCTTTTTGTCGGAGCTGCGGGGGCACCGGGGAGCCGGTAGCGCCAGCAGTGGTGACTGGAGAGGCCCTGCTGGCGGCTTCTGCCACCGAAGCCACCCGCCTGGCTCAAAAGGCAGAAGGCCTCACGCAGGTCTGGGGTATCGGAACGCTCACTGGCATTCGGCCAGCGGGTGCAGAGAGCAGCCCGGTAAAATGCAACTCGTCACCTTGTGCAAAGGAAACCCCTGCAGGTTCGTCGATAGCCCCCCACCCACCATATAGCACAAGCAAACGGGCAGCTGAGAGGTATAGTGATTATTTAGGACACTTGCAAGGCTGCACCAGCTGCCAAGTCAGCGCTTGAGCAATACACTTCAGGCTTGCTTTCTTGCACCTTCAGTACGTTCGAGATGACTTTTCTTGCCGCGCTGCTTGTGGTTTGTATACATTTGGGGACTTTCCTGTGTTCTGAGGGCGCAGTTACGGAGCCCTCGCAGGCGTCCGAGAACCATTCAAATCCTTCCACCATCGCGGGTAACAATAGGATGCAACAAAAGGACGACTCCAAGGACTGCTCTTATGTCGTTCCATTGGTTCCAAAGCCAGTGTTTGTACGCGAGCACGCTGGTAACGGGGTCACCGGTGCTAGTGCCTGCCAGAAGACCGCCTTCCTGGCTAGTCACCATTCAACCTGGGAAGAAGCCTCATCGACTGATTGTACCAAACAAGATGCTTGTGGTGCTGCATACTCACCACGCGCTGCGGTAATCAGAGGCCCTGACAAAACTGAGGGATCGCTTTATTTCGTAGCCCCCAACAGAGCGGTTAACGCGTCGAACAATTGTTCCATACTGCACAATAATGGTAGTCCTCGGTCGTTTCTTCAGTTGAAGGAAGAGGTTCCAGTGGGTGACCACCGAGCCAGCCCTTCTTTGTTCGACGATGAGCAACAAAGACTTTGGTCCCCCGGCCCTCTAGCGTTTCCCCGAAGGAAAGAGGCCTTGCAGCCCCTTCACAGCGATACCATTGGGAAGGTAGGAACAGCAGCGGACCACCCCATTGAGGCTGGCAGCGTAGAGCAGAGGGGAGGAGCAAGGAAGGCTTTCGCGGCAGAAGCTCTTTTTGAGACTTTATGCAGTGATCGCATTGAGCAGGTGTCCCCTGATTTTACAGCGTGTCAACCGGAGGAAATGAAATTGGCGAGGATCGCTGTGCTCATATGCTTGGCTGACCTACGCGACATTTGCATTCCAATGGTGTTAGTGCATCCCATCGATCGGAAACGACATCGGAAACGCGTGGAGCTTCACATGGTTCACGTGCAGGAGTGTGGAGTAATGCAGCAACTGAAGCCGTATATGCATCTTTTTGAGCTCGCCTTCGTACGAGATCTGCTGCCACACAAACTTCCCCCTGTTGCTCAGCGCCTCTTTTTTAGCTCGCTCGATATGCATGCGCGGGCATCCGAGTCTCTGTACTTCCCTACTTACTTCAGTGCCACTTGAAAAGCCAACTACGCATTCTTTTGCAGAAGGCGTTTGACCCTCCTGCACAGCAGGCGTGTCTTGCCTTTAAGTGGGGGCTACCATCGGAACTGAAGGAATAACTTTTGAATATGCTTCGATATTTTTCTTGCAAGTAGATATTACTTTGAACTACTGCGGCGCCTAAGCACCCACACCCACGGTAGGGAATCGCGTGCTGAGCACCTGTTCAGAAAGGTAGGGTGACAGAGGCTTAGGGGGCAGATTCCGCAATTCTAGCGATAGAGACCCAGGACAAAACTCAGGGAGTCGATCTCTGTACGCATAATGTCCAGGGGATGTTCCATGTGAATGAGACACTGACAAGCTCTAGAGGGAAGGCTTCAGGCTGTACCTTCTACTACTATCTCTAATAAAAAATTAGTGAGAATTTGACTCGGTGTCATATATCCTGGTGAAAGGTGTTAGCTTGATGCGGCAAGAAGCATTTGCGTGCGTATGCGCTAGATGTACACGCAACAAGCAGTGAATGCTCGAGTTGCTTTCGGGGTGTAGCAACAAGCAACCTAGCTATCCCGCTCCCATCATGGTAGAACCCCAAGGGAGGCGATAAGAAAAGCAAGGGACATTTCTGGAAAAATACCTCATAAGTTTCCTAAATTTGAACCGAGTCTGGAGCAAAGCATTTACCTCTGGCCACCTACGATAATACATGACCGTCGCGAATAAATATTAAGCAAATCTCCTCGAGTCCCGTCCTTAATAATGAATCCACACCCCCTATTATATATAGCCACTGAACTAGCTTCAATGCGTGGTTCCATGGCAGCGCAGTAAATAATGCCACAGAATCGCTGCGCGCCTGCATCGAAGAGCCGCCAGACTACGTCCTGAGCTTGTGATGCTTTACCGCCTGCCCATCATTAGTCCTATGGGCACCTGCCCCAAATCGTGCCAGGTGCTGTAGGAACTGTGGTGATAAGAATTGCAATGCTTGCTGTGGCCTGGGCCGCGCAAAATCCCACTGGTCTAACTATGTAAATAGCACCACCCCTGGGGAACACGATGTAGCCAACTATTGCTTCTGGAGAGCATAGAAGGATCTTCTTTTAAATTGCAACGCCAGCTTCTCATGTGTGCGGTTTCGATATGCACCTCACGAGCATTCCGTTCGCATGCTGCAGGCCACCCTGCTTCCATCACCAAGGAAGGAAGAACTTTGATATTTGAGTCGGACATATCTCAGCCACAAGAGACAGTTCCACGAGGAACAAGGTAAAAATTTCCATGAGAAAGAAATAACGGTTTTGCATGCTCTCTGACATTGCCAGTCATGGGGCTCTGCACAGTTGTTGCATGCACTTCTCAGCCTGGAAGTCGGAGGAAGTCAGGCAATAGAATCTACGCTGTTCCTCTTGAGTTGCTACTATGCATCTATACACCTAAAAATGAATTAACAATTGGATTTTCAAGCGTTGGGTGGGACCCGACGAAGGCCACTAACAAGGTCGAAGTCGAGCGGAAAGTTCCTTTGGAGTTGTTGCACTTGTTTTATCTCCAGATGCCACTCCCTGTTTGTGTCTTATGCGCATGAGGAGCTGATGAAGCCTTCCTAGCAGGGCATTCACACGATGCTGAATCTGACGCTAGTGCTACAGCACTGGCACTACAAAACCTGGCAGCGCTCCACTGCTGGATACTTGCGCACATGTACGGATGTTTGCACCGCCTCAGGCTGCACAGTGTTTTAGGCTGGTGCTTGCGAAACTGTTGTCAATTTACACCCCAGGGAGTGGAGGGATTAACGATGAACACGCACCCCGCCTTTTGGGGAGACAATGGACACTGAAGAGAGTCGGAGAGGGGAGGATTCATGTTGATGGATGGAGTTGTATTTTGCATTTGTTAACCCAGGAAATGGGTGGGGGACTTGCCTTGCCCCTTGATCACGAGTTTGTTTGTGCTGACCAGAACTACGATATTGCTGGCGGTGTGAATGTTTTTAGTTATGAAGAACAAGCTCCCTGGCAACGAGCTGGTCGGTTACGTGATCAACGATAAGCACCCGAAGTCTATCCGTGTGGCCTGTGACAGGTAAATCTTTTACTATGAAAAAACACTACGTGTCTAGTCCGCTTCCATCCAACTTTTGCCGTCCTGTGGTGAGAAACAAGTTGACGATTGACAGCGTATAGCATCCTCTGTGGATTGGGTATTTCGCGCAGGTATATGTATGTAGTGAGGTACAAGAAGGCGTTCAGGTATACAAAAAAAGTGTGGGCTCACGACGAGGCCAGCGAGGCGCGCCTCGGAGATGTTGTTCGTCTGCAGCCTCTGGGGTACCGCATAGGCCCGTGGAAGAACTACTTGCTTGTCAAGATTCTACATAAGGAACCGCGGCCGTATATGACAAGCGAAACGTAGATCGTGCTTATTGGATTGGCATTTTTTGCTTATGTGTAGGGTTCAATTATATTGGAGTTCATTGCATGTTCGAAACACCAGGGCTCGATTGCTGCTGGTCTCATAGAAAGGCACTTGACGAGCACAGACTGGCATCTGGGAGGCTTTACATACATGTTCTTCTTGCAGTGGCTGCGGGTGTGGCGGGCGCGTGGCGCGCACCAGGTGCACTTTCGCAGGATGCGAACTGAATCGTGCATTTTCTTTGCGAGGTGTGGCTAGAGACAAGACTTTCTGTTTCACTGATCTACGAGTTGGTATACCCTTGCGCTGTTTTCGAGGTCTTTGATACAACAGAAAGGGCATCAGCTCGCACTAGAAGTGGAGTTTTCAGCAGTTGACTATTCCATTGACTTCCTTGCAAATCCTGTTTCCGGAACACGCGGGTCCTTGAGGCTCACAAGCCGCTGCTCAGCTGCTGCTTCATTAATCGCAGCGATTTCTGTGCACGCAAATTTGACCGTCATTAGTCCGATCTTATCGCTTTAAACTGATGACAGAGGTGATAGTGCATCCAAAGTAATTACCTTCTGCAGTTTTCTCCTCGCCGTCAGCATCTAGGCTGTTCGGGTTGTGAGGATTAACCGAGGCCGCCGGGTTAGGGAACTCGTGTATGCTTGGCGATGGAGGGCTTGGAGTGACGCTGAACAGCCAGAGTCACATTATTGTGTTCTTCATGCGTATGATAGTCGTGTAAAAGGGCGATACACCTTTAGGCCAAGGCAACTTGGCCTTGCCTTGTGTGCGCGATTTTAATTGGCTTACTCTCTTACGGCTTGAGCCTGGAAATAATTCACATACTACACATGCGTGGGCAGATGCTCTAACCTACTCACCCTTTGTAGGCCCTCCATCTCCTGTCAGGACGCAGCCAGCAAGATGCAATACTGGCTTTCCAGCAGAGGTGTAGTATGTCCGTACCTGAACAGTGACGCCGTTGACTGAGAGCTGTGGCTTTCCCAGAGGACTGTCTGAGCTGTACGGCACTCATTTCATCGCCTTATCCGGTGTTAACCAATGGAAATTACAGGTGGATATTGATTCCAGAGGGCTCCTCCACTGGCATTGTTTGCACTAGAGCTTCTTCCTTTTCCCTGAAGCAACCAGCTGGTGAAACTGTCCCATGGAGGAAATGAAACCTAGCATAACACACATTTCTATCCCTGGCTCTGCAGGCAGTTTGCCTTTCTGAAAGGAAGGGAGCATGGGCTTTTCGCTCTGTACGAAAGACAAATGTATACTTACCACTCCGGTTTCCTCGCACAAGATGCCTTCATGGAGGTAATTCATCCATTCATTACGGCTGTGAAGGCTTCTGGTATTGTACAACAGAAGCATTGCTATGATTCATGGGTGCATTCTTCTTGAATGGGACCTGACCTCGCGCAGAAAACAGTTCCGAAGTCCGCTTTGTATCTTACAAGAAAGCAGCGATCATCAACTGTTTCCACTGGAATCTCAATATCTTTCAGTATAAATTCCTTTTCCGCTGCCTGAAGCTACTCCATGATCTGTTTTAACGGATTCAAACAAATATGCAGCATACCGCGCCAGAGAAGGCGGTAAAGGCTGTCTTTGAAAGTTGAGCATGAATAAGAATCGTTGCGTCAGGATCAGCATTGTCTATTGACATAGTCAGTAGTCCCTTGTGGCCTGTTTATCCAATGTTCCATTGTAGGTTGGTCTTTGCATTCGCCACAGCATAGCCATATGACTACCTTCTCCGCATTCCCTCATCTGCACTTTCTCGGTTTCCTCCTGCTTAAATCTAGCGCCTGGCCCATTTCTATGCACGTTTATGCCATGTTCGGCAATATCAGGCAGTTGAAGACCGATTCTAGACCATAGCCCATCTTTCAAAACAGGGGATGCTGCTGCGGAAGTTAAGCAGAAGGCACAAAGAGCGAGAGCCGGCGTCTCCCATCGACCCATTGTTGCACACTATTCAAAGCTATTCAATATATTCCAGCGCAATGGTGCGTAAAATGACGTACAAAGGATTATTGAGGTGAACGAAGCTCGCATGTGCCCACTACCCGTACACCCGAACTGTTTATACTAGCACAGCGTACTTCGAGCTCAATTCAAGTTCAAGTCGAATAAACTTAAGACATTGCGGAATTGATTAGTTTGCTCGCAAATGCTTCCAATAAACGTGGGACGGATCGTTCCTTTTTCATTTGACGTGAGGCATACATATGGTAAGGCGCACATTGCTCGGTGAAGTTTCGTGACACACCAATATTTACGAGGGAAAGCTGCGTTAAGTCCTTAAAGGCACCATGCCTACAGGACTACTTTGACATTGAAGCTTTATGGGAATAATTTTGACGCCAAACCTCCAGGAAACGGAAGGTTCAGCAAACGTGCCACTGGTTGTCTCATTCAGAACCAGTGGCACCGGCCCAGCTAAAGTTAGAAAGGCCGACAAAAAATCAAACTCCTTCCCCCCTCTCAACATGAAGAATGACAGGGCTCCATTGGGAGGCTTATGAAAACAGCCTATCGAACTGACGTCTATCGGAAAGCTTGATACATGAATCGGTGGCAGCCTTCTTGGTTGCTGGTTATGCATATTCAATAGCTCTGAGAGAAATGTCTATAGGCGTTTCTTCAAGTTTTCCTGCAAGCCGCTGGTCGTTCTTCGACATTTTCCCCCATCGCACAATTTCCCAAGTGATTTCTGGGCTCTCAGACGGGTGTGCTTCAGTCAGTGAAGTCGTCAAGGAGGCACTAGGAGAATCATTCCAACAATCCTCAGATGGATTGTCCTCCGCCATGAGCGGCATCGTTCGTGCTTTGCTCGTATGGGCTTTCACGATGTGAAGTTCTGCATTTAGTTTCGGTGCATTGGTTTTGATGTTCATGGGGATATTCCTTGCGAACAGCACAGAAACCCATTAAGGATGCATAGTGACTCCCAAGTAATATGCAATTTGGGACTCCGACTGCCGTCAAACCTGCCATGTGCCCCAGCTGGCACCCTTCAGCAATAGCGCAAAGCCTTACCTCACGAGTCTAAACAAATCGTCCAGGACACCCCCATGAGTCACAACGATTATTCTTTGCCTGGTATGCCGTGCAGTAACTTCTAAAAAGAATTCCTTCACCCGATTATACCTGCAGCACCGGCCAAAACTTTACAACCAACACAGTTCCTGCAGTTCAAAACCTAAAGCATCATGGTCGATGAACAGTGGAAAAATTGGGCAATCGAGAGTACAAGAAGTAGCGGTAGAGTAGGATATACCGTTGCTGAAAGCTCTCGCCCCTTGGAAAGACAAACCCAGGGTCCCTGTGAAGACACAAAGCAGTTCTCCATCAATAAACAGTTACTAACAGATTGCATTTCAATACCACTGAACACGGGACAACCAACAGCCTGAAATGTGCCTTGCTTTTACCTGCTCCTGTTCCAAGCCCCCCACTCCTTAGGGAACAAGACTGGCAGTTCATCCAGCAAGTGACCTGCACACCGTCAGGAATATTCAAGGAAGTTACGCGGATTTCTGCTGTTGCTGCAATTGCAACTTTAGAAGCCTGGACGGTTAGCAGACCTTGAATATACGACCACGGGTTAAAGCCTATTTCACCACCTTCACACCTTGAAGAATTCCAGCATTCCACTCTTGAATACGCCCATCCAGCACAATCTTGCAGTCGATGCCAGCCGCCTGCCGGATTCTGTAAGATCACAAACAATGGTTGATTTCGGATGGCCGGTGACCACTACACAAATGAAAGTTTTCACTTGAATCGAAAGGTCACTAACCCCATCCTGCTCCACCCGTGAGGCGGAGGGATAAGAAAAACCGGACCAGAGGGCACACTGCATATTCCTGGGAGAACTGGAGACGCACATTTCCGCGGACTCGCGTGTTCGATTCAGAGGACTCGAGTAAATGACTTCAATCTGAAAGTTCTTTCCGCTTTCAATCATGGACCTGCAACAGGAGGAAATCGATGGGGAAAATTAATGAAACGGATGATGTGTAGCGTCTGTCGAAGGCACTGCACTACTGCCACTCCAATTAAGAAGAACCGACTGAATATTTCTAATATAGTCTGTATGCGATTCCCGGCGCTCAGTCGCCAAAAGACGTACTTCAATTTCTTGCCGCACTCTCTGCATTGTTCCCTGCCTATGTCATTCAAAGGCACGTCAAGCTGCCCCTGTGCAGAAACAAAACAGCTAGAGGTGCTCCTACATTTATGAGTGCTTGTTCCTTCTTCCTGCAGTGCCCCCAAAGAAACCCCTGATCTACACAGCACGGCATACCTGGAGGCGCCGTTCTGCATTGTAATCTGTGAGGCCGTGGCGAATGGCGAAAACCTCGCAGCAATAATTCAGTTCTGCTGCACAAGCCAAGTGAGCTGCCATTCTTTTACCAAACGGCTGGCATGTGGGGATGAATACTGCTGAGGCTAGATATGCGATAGACCCGGGCTGTTCGCCAGGACTCACAAGGCAACGGAACCAAATCACCGTCCGCCACCAGTACAGGCCCTCCGTGCATAATAATTCAACGTTCATATAAAACGCATCACTGCTATAGCTGAGAACTCGGTTTCATGAGGAAATGCAGTAGATTGTGCACTTTCGATGAAATCCAGGTTCCTCACAGGGTGTCCAGCTGCTGGAAGGTGGCTCAGAAGTATCTTGTTGATCCACCGTGAAAGAGAGACTCTGAGGGTGCAAGTTCCGAAAAAGAATCGGGGAAAGGAGGAAATAATCAAAAAAGGGGCAAGGGGCTTAAGGAGGCCACCCATAAAAGGCAGTACCTGGCTTTGGCGCGAGACACAGTGAGTGCAAGAAGGATCCGGCAGACCCTTAATTCCCACGACACACTTTTAGCTCAAATGGAGGAATATGAATACTTAATGTGTAGGCTTTTTTGTGATATATGGCCTTGCGCAGCACCAATACCCTTCTTTACCGCTCATTTTCTACGAGTATTGCTCTTTGTGTAGGGCGAGAATGTACAACGAGGGTTCCATTAACACATGACATGCGGCCGCTTTCATATATTAAAAGGCTAAGTTGATATTTATTATGGAGCTAAACGTTCACGGTATCAATTAATTTCAGTATGCCAGGCTTTTTCAGTAAAAAGAGGGCAAAGCCCCAAAAGCGAAGGTGGGCTCCCGTGGGGCTGTTGTGCGTGGCCTTCGGATTTATGCGGAATTGAAAGGAGGACATTGAGCTCGAGAGACTGAAGAAACTTCTCGACGGGTCTGTTTCCTTCTGTTCTGTGCGCAACGTTTTCCGGGATCGTTCCGAGTCTTGAAAATGGTGAGAATTACCGCAGGCCCTCATCCCAACGTTCGTGCAACTCCCCTCTTGTGGGGTTCTACTCTGTGGCCCTCCTGCTAAGGGATCTGCCTTGCGTTTAATTAAAGAAGTCTCCAGAAACTGTTCTCGCATTTTTTCCTGCGCTCTGAACGAGTAATTGCCCATGGATCTGGCATCCCTCAAAGATTTCGGCATGGAGCATGCTGACCGCACGTAACTTGAGCTTGTTCCGTCTTTTTTCAAGACGTATTGACGTCTCTTCCCTCAGTTTTTCGGTTCGCACCCTTTTCGGAAATTGTGGCAGCTTGCATAAGGCCTTCACTCTCACCGGAGGAGCTCTTCTATGCTTCCCGGGTTCCACGAAGATACATGAGCCCTTTTGGTTGCTCGTTGTGCTGCACATAGAAGAATTGGAGTGGCACCTTTTAGTTGTCCTTCTGTTGCTTCACGTCCATGTGCTTGGCAGGATCCATTTCCAGCTTGCACTGTTGTGCACACGAGTGACGTTTCATCGACATTTTTCCAATTCTTGTTCCATGGCATGCCTGTACAGCGAAAAACCACGAAAGTCATTGGATGCCATCGTGGAATCGGATTTCAGTTTGCTGCTGATGTGGTGGTTTTTTGACCTTTTCAGGGGCGTGTCAGGACCAAGACTGTGAAGCGCGCTGCGCGCCAAATCGTCGAGAAGTACTACGCTAAGTAAGTTTTGGGGTCTTTATCGTTTAATTTTGCCTGCCGAGCGGTTGTTCAATTACTTAGGGCGTTGTGATGTTTCGAATGCGCAACTATTCAGGCTTACTTTGGATTTCCAGATCAACAAGAAAATCACAGAGGAGGTGGCGCTGCCCCCCTCAAAGCGCATCCGTAACAAGGTCGCTGGATTCATCACAGTACGCAGAGCTCATACACTGCGTGGACGAGCACATTCAGCGTGACAGTTGAGACTTTGTTAGGGAGTCCTTAGGTTTAAAAGTTAAGACTTCTCGTAGTTACCGTGTTACCAGATTCTAGATGGTGTAAACCGTTCAACTCTATACGTTTTCGTCTTCGCAATGCAGCATTTGATGAAACGCATCCAGAAGGGCCCAGTCCGTGGGATTTCTCTTAAGCTGCAGGAGGAGGAGCGCGAGAGACGCATGGACTTCGTCCCCGATAAGTCTGAGATTGATGTTACAACCATTTCCATCGACCAAGACACTGCGGAAATGCTCCAAGCTCTCAACATCTCACTCCCCAATGTGTCTATTGCCACCGCACACAGAGGAGGTATGGGCAACAGGGCCATGCGAGCCTAAGCTGCCAAGCAGTGCTTCTCCTGCTGCCACTTCCGCAGAACTCTCCTCTTTGGGAAAGCCCCTGCTTGTTAGGCGTGCAGTGTAGTTGCACTTTGCTTGCACTTATTCGGTTGTCTCGCTTGGGTGTCATTGAACATCCGCGCTAGAGGTGGCGCCCTTTCGTCCTGGAGACTTTAAAAGCCGTGAGTGTTTAGAGGCTATATAAGTGCAGCACTGGGAGTATGCCCAACTCAAATGACTTTTGTAGTAGATGAACACCACGGGCTCTCATTTGTAGTGGAGTAACCTACGGGGAATGAAAGGGTATCTGGCGAATGTTAAGGCTGCTTAGATTTTCCGGTGGCACTGTGCCGGTGGAGTGCTATCCCTGAGAAGCATAAAAGACACTGGCCTGTGTAAAGTGGTAAACTAGTGAAACACTCAAGAGTGGAAAAGGCAGTTTTCAATCCCCTGTTGCCTTCGGCAGGAGAGCTCACGTGCACCTGGACTTTTGGGGTCAACCCTGAGCATTCTGCTTAAGAGTGGCCCAAAAGGGTGTGGGGCTTTCGCCAATGTTTACTCCAATACCTTTCGTGGTCATTGTGCAGCATGCGCACGCTCTGGGGACGGCCACTCAATATGGGGCTACGTAAGGCCAGCTGGTGCGGTGTAGTGGCAGGCGGTGGACTGCTCTCTACGTGTCACATCCGCCGACAGGAGATATACTTGCACGTGTTTTTTCTCTAGATGGGGAGATGCAGCGGCGCAAGCTCTTTTCGGGTTGGCCCTGAGCTCTTGTAGCCGCACCTGGCGCCCACGTTTATCGAATGCACCGAAGTGTGTATACTACCTCAGCATGAGCACATGACACGTACGAGCAGTCTTTCGAAGCATACGCTGCTAGCTCGTATATTATAGCGCCGAGTGGCCTCCCTAGAAGAAAGCAATGCAAAACCTCTTCGCATGCCGCTCCTTACAAAGGTTGATCTGAGTGGAAAATAAAAAACCTTCCTGCGGAAACCTTATATTGAGCATAACATTTGGTAGCGTCGCATGGCTCGATGGAGCTAATCCGTGCTCATCCACAGGATTGTGGATCCAGTGGAGTGGCAAGCTTATCTACACTTATTTGGAATCCATCAAGTCGATTGGTAAATTCACAAACCTTTTCTCGCTTGTCAAGGCGTTGGAGAAAATGCCTCTGGCAATGAATACAGAGATAGCTCGACGCCTTTTGGGACGGCAGAGGCCGGTCTGCAAGCCAGTGTAAACGCAGTAGCATCTCAGCTCGTAGATTGGCACGATACGTTAGCCGGCAAAGGGTTAGGGATGCCTCGATGCGCTAGTGCAGACCAGAAAAGTGTGGCGGCCGTAAAGGCAAGTATGAGAGGGTTTTATCAGGCCCTTGTAGAGGTGCCTCGCCCTATATCCCCCCCTCCCCCTCACCCACCCAGTGTAAAGAGAAAAGACTGCTCCTTGCTGGAGCTTGAGTAGGGGGAGGCACTTGACAATGGCTGTGTCCACAGGCACCCAGTTGACCGACGGCAGATTGCTACAGTTCAAGCCATCATACAAGCCCTAGCTCCTGGTCTCAAATACTCTTTTCTCACACTTGATATTTTAGCAGAGCGGAGTCGGTATCTCAATGAGGTGAGGCAGTCCTTATGCGTGCAGCTCAGCAGCGTAGCACGAGAATACTGCTCCAAGGATGCTTTCCGTCTTAGTGGCTTTGCAGCTGCTTCTTGGTTGCGGAACAAGACCGTACTATTCGCCGAGGACCGGCAGGAATGGGCAAATATCGAGGGTGAGTTCGCGGATGTGCTAGCTAATGACAATTTGCCAGCAGACAAGCCACCTGCTAGTCGTCCAGCGCATCGTATTGAGCAGATGATCGGGTCAGCCCCAAGATATGTTCCATGGTATTGTATATTCCAACAGCATAAAGAGGAGCTGGAGCGGCAGGCCCAGGGTTTGTAGGAAAGCGCAAACTGCAGGAATCCAGATAACCCGGTGTTTGTACCGTGGAAAGACAGGCTTTTGGCTTTTCCGTGCCCACCTGAAGTGCAACGGCAACTGAACTGGGGGTTCTATGAAGCCGAGAAGGAGGGCTGGATGGCTCGCTTTTATAGACGATGTCCTGGTATTCAGCCCTTCAAGAGCACTTCAGCAGCTACAGCTCTCGCTACTGCAAGGCAAACAGCAATACGTGAAGGCAGGCATGTGTTAGTATTTTATGAGAAGTATTGTATTCTTGGGATCTCCTGTGCTTCGCATGCAAAAATCGATCCGGATTACGCAAAAATTGACGCAATCAAGGCATGGGAATTACCCTTGCGCATTTGCACGGACATGGCGAAGCGCTTTGGGATTGCATCTTGGTAGCGATATCTGATTTCTGGATTCGCTAGGATCACTCCTTTTGTGACTAGTCTAGTTGACAAAACCCGGTGAAGGACTTCAACAGAAAAGGCTGATGGCACGGCAAGGACGATTAACGGCCGCCCCCGGCTACAATTCGCGCTGGCCACTTATGAGCGCTATTTCTCCTTGACAGCGAATGCGTCGCGTTACGTTTGGTTTTATTTCCACCCACTAAGCTCCCTGCTCTCCAAAAATGCCGAAGTATCGCTTGTTATCCTTATTGTTTCACCGACTCCAATCAGTGGTATGCAGTGCGAGAAAAGAAACCCTAGACGGTGCGGTGGGGCGTGCAGTACACCAGCAATAGAGATGGGTGTCATCTTACTGTCCAAGCCGGCCATCGTTACCAAGTCAATCTGACAAAGAGATGCCAGGCCTTGGATTATGAGCTGTTCGCGGGCTTGAGCATGTCCTGCAGTACGACCGTACAAGAAAGCCTACCACGTCATGGCTCACGCAGTCACGATTAGCATGCCCGACGGCTCAGCGGTTCAATTGTGTTCAATGCGGCCGCTCGTGTGAGATAACTCAGGTCTCTATTGAAGCTGCTTAAGTCTTAAGCTTCGGTAATCTATGCATCTGTAACCATTGCCAAAATTCAGAAGGACAAAGGGGTGAAGCACTACCTCGTTGAGGTGTGCCTACTGTGGTTCAATGCAAAGTGAGGAGTCCGTGCCGGGTATATCCCAACTTTGCTTTGCAGTGCTGTTTCGCGAAAAAATAGCAATGTCATACCCTTTCCGGCCATGGGTGAATTCACACTATGGTGGAAAAGCTTTCACAATCATTCTGGTGGCTTGCGATGCGCTCCGCGGCAGAGAAGTGCGGACTGTATTGCTCAGGTTGTCAGCAGCTGAGGCTGCACAATTTGGATAAAACTGGCCTTCTGCAAAGCCTTTCAACTCACTAAAGGCTTTGGACTGATCTGACTAAGGGCTCTTTAGTTGGACTGCTGGACACCGAGGGTTAGGATAGCAACTACTTCGTGGTCTGTAGAAAACATGCCCAAGCATCCCTTGAACCAGTTTTGTAATGGCTCAGAATATCGGTCAACAATTCTTAACCTTTCTCTAAAAGCCCTAAGTATCTCGCAGCAGTATTGATATGGATAGGGCTCCGAAGTTCGCTGGTGGGTTCTGAAATGCCTGCATCACCCGCCTATCATTGGCCATAATATGACCAGTGCAGGCCATCCTGAGGCAGATAGACAAACCAAGGCGACCAACCACACCCTTCTTCAGTATTTGCCAGTACTTGAAAAAATCCAATCGATTAACTTAATTTTTTCCCTTGTGCCGTGTTGGCTTGCACATAATAGTAAACTAGTCCACCAGCTTCTTTCGCGCACCTTTAGAACCCCTCGCCAATGCTTTCCTGGATCGGCTGGTTCGGAGTTAGCATCCCCGCTCAGCGGGAGAAAAATTGAAATTTTTTCTGGCTAGTGGGAGTAATGTTAACACAAAGCTCAAGACAGACAAAAACGGTAAGATGACCAGCGGAGTTTCGCTGGGTGCCTCGAGCCTGGAGCATTGGTCTCAGGGGTCTACAGGCTTTAGAGGATATACCAGAATATGCGTAGAGACAGAGGTTTGAGGCCAAGTGGCTGGGACCATTTGCGATTCGGTCACAACAGTTCACGTTCTTCCCGTACTGATTTACCTAAAGGTTAGAAACGCTACAGAACTGTCCATGTTGGAGTTTTAGATAACTTTCACCGCCTTTCGATGTATTTTTGAGATTTCTCGTGTAGGCAAGTGTCCACATGCAGGCGTAGGATACAAAATTAGCGGTAGAAATGCTAGATGTTAGAACTGTTGATGGCCAAAGAGAGACTAGTCAAGAGTTTCTAGTGAACTGACGTGAGAAACGGCAGCACCATTAGCTGACGGAGAGGCAGTTTTGGGACTGGCTGTCTATCAGTCTGAATTACAGCACGTGCACTCGGCATTGATAGTGTTCCTCGTGTTCCTTGATAATAATTGTGCTTTCCAAGCACATGCTTTACCTGAAATTGCCAACTCCATCTATGGCATTTTTGGAAAAGGTGCCGTTTATTCTTGTTTCAGTCTCATGTATGGTGTCTCTATTTTCTTCCTTATGCCCCTTTGTAGGCTTGGAATTGACTACGCAGGGTATTTACAAGCTAATATTTGTTCTAGGAGGGATGGAGGCAGTGCTGAACAAGTAAGAATTTCATTTCTTCCACAAATATTACTTGTCTTCCGCAGGGCGTTCCCTCTTTCAGCGCTCTGACCACAGCAAGCCATTGCGCCACCGCAATCGTGTTGCTTTGATCCCGCATTCGTTGTTGGCAAGCTTCTGCCTTTCTTTCCTTTCATTGTACTGCAGTGGGTGCTGCACACATGTGCTCTGCTCCTCGAATTTTTCGCACTGGTGCCTACCTGGGGAGTGGCGATAGTGCGGGAAATCTTTTTCTCTCCTGCAAGTAGCTTGTCCTCACGAACGGGTACACCAGACGGAGGCGTGTGCCTGAAGTGCGAGGAAAGAAAAACGCGTAAAGATATGCTAAAACACATTCGACTACACCACCTATATTTAGCTAAGAACTAGCAAAGTGTTAACTGATTAGTTTTTCTGTTCGAGTATCTTATTTGTTGCGGAGGGCTCTAAGCTCGATGCAAGAAGACGAAATGTTCGGTGCGTGGTGCTAGATGCTGTGAGAATTTAGTGGCGAATGCTTGGAGTGCTTAGAGGGTGCGCGGTGCCACAACCACTCCCCTCGCTGTGTCCCTTTGCTCCCGACGTTTCTTCTACCACTGCTACGAGGGATTCTCTGTGCAACGCTCCATGCGATGTTTGTTTGAGGCAATATTTCACTTTATGTTCCAAACCATCAATACAAGGCCCGATAAAAAATTTAATTCAAAGCTCTGTCTCCTTGCCCTGCCCGTGTTCTTCACAGCCCCTCTAGCTAGTTTGCGCGTTCCTGCAACTCTATGCTCTGCGACCATTCCCAGCAACGAGTACATGACATCCCTTGGATGCAAACAGAATTGTATGTTGTGGCATTGATCTGTTTCTACGAGTTAGCAAACAAGATGTACAGTCAGGTTGCGTAGCCAATTCTCTACCAACTCTGAAATAAATTGTACCACTGTAGCTGCAAGTGCCCCAGTGTAATTTGGCTCGCTATATTGTACCGAAAACCTGTAACTATTCTTGGACAAACAATTTAACAACATTACAGATTTAGTCAGGGAGTCAGAAATACTGTGCAGATGTGAAGGGAGAGAAGTCGCAGTGGCTGCTAAGCTCGAAGTGCTACAAGAATGGTGTGCTACCTTCGAACTAACTGTGTAAGTGAGATCTTTGTGTGCGGTTCAGGTACTGTTAGGCCAGGTTTGTGTTATTCACTTAAACTGTGCTATGAATATTGGCACGATCGTTTGCCTCCAGCATTCTCGGTTCCTTCCTGGGGGAAGCGCGACATGGCGCAACCCCACCGCAGTAACACGGACCTCCCTGTGTTTGCATGTAGATGTCTATGGCCGCGCGCTTACTCAGGTTTTGCTTTTTTTCATATTTTCATCCGTTTGAAGGGACTTCCCGCCGCGAGTCGCTCGCCGCCTACGCTGCACAAGTCTATCCAGCCCCTCCCTGTACTCGTGCCTCTGGCCAGTCAAGCGAAGGACAGGAACACGCCAGGGTCGTCCTCTTGTAGCACGTAAATACTAGACAGACGGTGTCTATGAAGGTGGCATTTCGGGGAGCAGGCGACTCCCTGCCGTGTCTGCGCGCCGACGCCTGACAGGCATAGCCCCCCATAGGGCGCTGCAGGGGCGGGGTGTGCTCCTACTTCGCTTGTAGAGGGATAAGCTTGCGTCAGAAGAGTCACTACCTGCTAGAAACTTCGGCTGCACCTAAACCATGGGAGGCCTCCACATACAGCACGAGTGGCAAGTGGGCCTACCACAGCCGCACTCCCCTCTGTCTCACTTTGCTGCCGACGTTTCTGCTACCCAGGTTGCAAAGAATTCTAGTTGCGGCAGCGGAATTCTCTGTCCGCTGCAGCAACCGCATGCATTCGACTGGGTCCCCAGTGTTGCCGTGCTCAGTGACGCTGGTTTGGAGGTCGGTGGGGTTGTTGTGTCTCTTTTGGACATTATTTCAGTCCGCTTGATCCCTGAGGCCTCTCAGTACTCAGCCAACGAGGACTGTTCCTCCGAAAGCCCCGCGGATCTTTGTGGAGGATCTGAGGAAGCAGGTGTGTCCAACAAAGGGGAACTGCCGTCCAATGACCAAACATCAGCAGGAGCAGCAGTTGATGGTTGTGATGGTATCTCAATGGGGCATTCCTCAGGGTCGGAGTCAGGAGCAGAGAAGGAGAATGTTGATTGGCTAGGAGAGGCCGCACAGAGTGGACAGGTGTGCAAGCTTGTTGTGTTGTTACGCTCTCCTCTCCCCACGGCAGAACCTGATCCGCCCCTGTACCCCGTTCCAGCTGGATTAGAACCCGAAGCGGGCAGCTGTATAGTGATGAGCACCACAGCTGCGTCTGCTGCAGCCAGCCTCTCGTGCCGCGGTCCCTTGCACCTGATGGAAAGTACCGAAGCGCCGTTTTTGGCGCTCCTGCAGCGGCTGCAAGAGTTTATTTCGCATATTCGCCCGATTTTCTGTTCCTTGAGAAAGCGTGCAGCACTCGCGGAGGACATTAGAAGCCGGTTCAGGCAGAAGCATCAGCCGCAACAACAGCAAAAGCAGCAACAGCCGCCACACATGCTACTGGCGGCGGCAGCAGCAGAAGTGGAGCGGCTCAGGGTGTCCAAGCAGCTCCCTACTTTGTTAGGAGGGTTCCTCTTAAAGGACTGTGCAGCTCTCGAGGAGGCCGTTGCCTATGCCCCTCTTTCAGTGTACGTTCACCTTGAGGCCGCAACGGCGTTGCTGCCGCAACTCCCTGTGGAGCCTTCTTTGTACCCCACTTGGAGGCGCATCATGCTGCAGCAGCGGCGCTTGCAGATACAACAGCGGCAGCCGTCTCTGCAAGTTGCCGCCTCAGCCGCTGGTTGTCGGGGAACTCGCTGCAACAAGTCAGCTGCTGCCTCGGCAGCATTTCCAGCTGGGGCCGCCGCTGCTGCGCTCATTCCCTTCGAGCTGCAGGGGGGAGGCTGCCGGTTGGCGAAGGGCAGCACTAGCTGCTGTGAAGACGCATTCTTCTACTTGGAGCACGAAGGATGCTTCGGTGTCTTTGACGGAGTAGGGAGCTGGGCAGTTGAGGGCATCGACGCCTCTCGCTTTTCGGAAGGCCTTGCCGCAGCCGCAGCCGCGGAGGCAGCGGCTCACCTTCATCCTGAGCGCATGTCTCCCCAGTACCTCTCTCTGGACGCGAATGGGCGCGCAAGGCTACTGTTGCAGCGGGCCCATGAGGCAGTCTGCAGCAGTGCGGATAACAGGTGGGGCAGCAGCACTGCTGCAGTGGGCTGTATAGACCGGCGGACGGGCAAATTGGGGGTTGCCTGCTTAGGCGATTCTGTTTTAATGGTGCTGCGGCGCCAGATGATGCCATGTAGCATGTCTTTTTACGCGTCTGAGGCCCCGAGCATCAAACCAGAGGCGCTGCTGCTATCCGCCACGGGCGGCATGGTGGGCAGTGCGGGCAGTGGCTCCAGCAGATTTCCGAGGCTGCTGCGACGATGCTGTTGGCGTACCAAAGAGCAGAGGTGGGAAAATGGTGCTCCCTATCAACTCTGTAATCTGCCACCCAAGGAAGAGTGGGAAACGCTGCGCCAACAAGGATGCGATCGCTTCGTCTCTGTGCTAGAACGAATAGACCCGCAAGGCGATACTGCAGACATAGCATACGCCCCACCGCAGCCCCTATTGCTGCAACCAGGCGATCTTCTTCTCATTTTCAGCGATGGAGTGGCAGACAATCTATTTGATCGGGAAATCGAGGTCTTCTCTTCGCTTGCAATTTCGCCAGAGGAGGCTGCGCTATTGCAACAGCAACAGCAACAGCAACAACAGGGAAAGGAAGGGGTACAGAAGCACAAGCAACAGCTGAGCCAGGAAGAGGGGCAGCAAAAGAAAACCCTTATCGGATTTACCCCCGCGCAAGATATTGCGGAGCTCATTGTAAAAATAGCAAAACGGAAGTCGCAAGATGGTGTAGGTTCCCTCCTAGAGCGAGATTTCCCTAATACCTCTCCATTGACCAACACGCGCCCCTTTCCCTGCTGTCTACATGATGACCACATGAGTGCCCAGCCTTCGTGTAGGTGCCTTGCGCATTCCTAGGGTGTGTGTGGAGGGACGGTGGGTGGTGGGTGGGTGCCCTGGGAGACAAGGAGGGTAGAGAGACACTGGGAGAAACGAGTGAACGCCACGTCGGAGGAGACGGCCTCGGGGTGCCCGGAGACTCCATTGCATTGCCGTCACATCGCTCATGTGATGCGGCTGATTGCGCGGTTTTGCTGTCTTCGCAGCTCTACGAGCGGCCTTTCGTCGCCGCTCCAGAGGGCACCAGGGCCCTCCCCGCGCATTTGGCGGGGGGAGAAGGAGAGGGGCCTCGCGGTGGGAAGAGGGACGACATAAGCTGCGTTGCCCTTTGGGTAACAGCGGCTGCGCCTTGCACCCTCCCCCTAGCAGAGACGAAAGCGCGCACTCCCGCTGTTCCGGCTGCTGGGCCGACTGCTGCTGCTGCTGCCGAGACCTTACCGACGGAGTCTGCCACCAGCAAGGAGGAGGTCATTCAGACTCGCTCGGAAGCACACGAGCCAGGAATAGCAACCTCGTCGTCTGTTGTTGCGCCTAGTGCGCCTGCTGCTGCGTCGACACCGAGTGACCCTGGGGACGTAGCTGCAGCAAGGGCAGCAGCACCATCCGAATCTTCGCAGAAGCTGCTTTGTGAGCTCCGCACACCTACCTCTGCGTCTCGCTTCCGTCGGGCTTCCACTCCACGTGCGTTATCCTCTAGCCCTGCTTCCCCAGCAACTCCACGTGCTTCAACACCATCGGCGGTGGCTGCTGCGTCTTCACCAAGGAAGCGTAACCTAGGGGCACTCTCTCCTGCTGCCCGCACTCCGTCCCGCAGTGTCAGCAGGACTGCGGGTAGCCCCCTGGGCTTCATGAGGCCCTGCGGCGTTTCCCGTTCAAGTGGAGTAGGAGACTCGAAGGACCTGAGCTCGCCCACCAGCACACCAAGAAAGCCGCTTTCTGCCGCGATGACGCAGGCTAATGCTGTGCCTGCTGGTGCCTCTCCCAGTACCAATGCACACGCCCCGGAAGAGGCGGCAGAGAGTCGTTTGCCCCGCCCCAACTTTGCAGCCTTCGCTGTGCTTCGCGCTGCAGCGGCGGCAGTGAGGGGAAGGGCACCAGGAGATCGTGGCAAGCCGGCGTCTCCAAGGCGCGCGGGGGCTCAGGGGCCACCAGAGGCTCCAGAGGGGCCCCACGGGCGCATAGGCTCGCCTGGCCTCCGATATTCCGACACTCCTAAGAAGCCATCAAGGCCTTCAAGACCTCTCAACGCAGCTTCATCAAAAGGAACAGTTTCCCCGTGTGCCTCAACAAGTGCTGTGGCTGCTCCATCCGCAAAACTGGCCGCTAGTGGCGACCGGGAAGCCAGGATGGTTACAAGCCCCCCCAGCAGCGCCTCACAGCTAGCCCAAACCCTGCAGGCAGAAGGCACAAGCAGCGACGGCGCTGATGAGGGGCCGGCTAAGCCGCGGGAGCACCAGGAGGAGGGAGTAGGGCAGCTTTCCGACCCTCCGGCTGCCCAAATCACTGAGCGCCGATCCCGGCGTCTCAGCAATGTGGCTTCCGCGGGAGACTGGAAATCGCATGCTACCGGCGTGCCTTGTAGTCCAAAGGTGGCAGGAGCCCTCGGAGGCCCCTTTCGAAGAGCCGGAGCTGTGAGAGCGGCCGCCTCCTCACCATCTGGAGCTGTGAAACGTCTCAGGCAGTGCGAAAAGCACATGTGAAGAGCCCTGCAGCGCAAGGGTGCCAGTAGTTGATTCTGCAGCAGGAGCTGCTGCCTCCGTTGCTTCAGGAGCAGCCCCAAAGCATTTCAGTAGCTTCTACGAATGCAGCAGCGGCAGCAGTAGCTGCTGTTGCTGCCGTCGGCCTCATGACGAGCTAGTGCCGACAAAAGACATCTAGTGGCTTTCGGCCCAGAGGGAACTACAAATCGATGCCACCCAATTCACCATAAAGGTGTCTATATACACTTCTGTGAACTTCACATGCATATCTGCACGGTTTAGGCACCAGATTTGTACTGTCTAGGGGGAAGCAGAGGGCGGGGTCCGCATGCATTTGAGGACAGGATTCCACATCGAGGGTCAGGAGCAAGCTCTGAGGAGGGAGAGGCGTTATTCGGAAGGAAAACACTCTCTCTCCTGGCGTCCAATCCACCTCTTCAGCTGTGCACGGGTGCGTTTAGGACGTACGTCTCTCCCTCCTTAGCAGCACTCTGCTTATAGCCGCATGCACATGCAGTTCACCTAAAACTGATGAACGACGGTTTACTTTAGGAGTCGAATACCGCAAGGGTGGAGTATTTTAAAAGCCCCCCCATCTTGCAAGTGTTGGTTCGGGAATATAAAAGGCTCCTAGTTAGAGCGCCTTCCAGTAGGGGCTTCCTGCATAACTAAAGCAACAAGGCCGTTCCGTTCTGTTAGGTGGCTCAACGGCCAATGACGGGGACAGAACGGCAGAAGGATGTGGCTCTAAACACAGAAAGGCGGTCAATACAGGATGCAAAATTCAAGCAGCTTCCACCTCCAGCTTCTGGTTTGGCGGCGTGCATCTGGCTGTTGTTTGGAGGAAAAAAATCCGGCCGTTAAAGTCTCTGACGCCCAAAGTGACGCTGGCGCGGAATACGGGTTGACACATTTTAACATCAAATACGCAGAGGAGGGCATGGAGAAGGAGAGCAGTTGCATTTTCCTTCGTAGTGGTGCATGCTTGCCCGTGTGTGCTACAGCAGAGAGCAAGCATTTCACAATCATTCCTTGCTCGCTGCATTTCAAGTTTGTAGCTGCCTCTTAATGAACTCCCAGATGACTTTGTTGGTTTCTAGCGGCTGTTCGAGCATCACATTGTGGCCCGCCTTCCCCACTACCGCCGCTGTCACTGCCCCCTGCCTCGCCCACTCCTCCGGGGGTACATGCGGTCCTCCGCCAAGGCACTCGCTCAGGTTTCTGTTGCTACAACTGCTTCCACGGATCTCCGCACCGCAGGCTGTGTAGGGCAGTCGCAGATACTGGGGGCTTGGAAGGCTCGCAGGAAGAGGTCCTGCCCCTAAGGCTGCAGCAAGTGCTGCGGCTGACGCGGCAGGAGGCGTAACAGAATCGCCCTCTCCGTAGAGCAGCAACACCGGAGGACGGTGCGATTTATCACGGAACGCATCAGCAGCTGAATAAACATACATACAGGACGATGAGAGGGGGGAAGGCTAAGAAAACTGCCATCTACACATACATGCGTGGACAAATGTGTAAGGAATAATATTATCGGCAAATAGAAGCACGCCAGACGATCCCCCCATCAAATACCCTTTAAATTCCCTGACTATGTACAGACTCCCGTCCCCCAGACTTCATGAAACTCAAACTGCTATTCTATACTCCCTGCTTGTTCCCATTACAGCACAACACTGTTAGTTGCCGCAACAGAAACATCCTGCCGCTGCGCTTTCCTCCCTTGGTTCCCTCTGCTTGTGTGTACCTCGCTGGAATTCTTTGTGTGCTTCTCCTCCTTTCAAGTGCGCTAGTATTTCGAGGACAGTTTCCAGAAGATTCATTGAAGTAATCTGCTGCTCGTCATCCATCAGGCGCCTATTCTTCTGCCGAGTCTCTCCACTGTACAGCAGACGCTGAGATACCTGCCCTACCAACGAGCGGATCAGCTGCAGCACCAAGCGGGGTAAATAGAGAAACAACCAGGCAGCCAGCCCGGGGGGCCCCCTTGCCACATCGCCACCAATGAGGCATATTCCCGACACTTCTGTCTCCCTGTTCTCAGCGGAAAGCTGAGAATACAGCCGAAGAACCTGCAGACAGCCGAACGAATGACCCACCAAAACAGCACGCCGGGGAGGAGATCCACAATGAGGGGTGGAGGACGCTTTCTTTTCGTCCTTTCGAGTACCAGCCAGGGCGTCAAACACGGCCTTAATTATGCTCTGTGTGTCTTCCACAGGGCATACAGGGGCTCCCTGTGGGTCTCTTCGGGCGGCCCCTGAGGCCGTTCTACTGAGCCCATGGCCCGGAAGGTCTGGAGCAATACAGCGAATTCCCCTTTGTGACAGGAAATGAATTACATGACGAAACTGCCCAGCACGGCCACCACCTCCATGAATGAAGAAGACGGTGAGGCTCCTGTCGTTAGCATCAGCGCCCTGGTGACGCGGTGCTGCTTCATCTATCAAGAGAGGAATGGATCCAAGTGGGGTGGCGGTCTCGGGGGTCTCCCCGAGTAAACGAAGTGGCCCCTGGCAGTCAAGCGCCACAATGCGCAGCTTCCAGGGACCTACAGAGGCGAACTGAACGCCTAAGTAGCGACTCTCTGCAGCTAGGGGTTCGCAACCGCTGCAGAGGCAAAGAAGACGGGTTTCTTCTCCCATGGCTTGGCTTTCGCTGCGTAGCTGGCAGCAAGTCAGGATGCCCCAGTCTATAGCCGTCTCTGCCTGCGGCTGACAAAAGCAGAACCTGATGAGTGATGCAAAGCTTGAAGTTACGATAAATCAACGGAGATACGATCCAACAAGGAAGGCAAAGAAAGAATGACGCACTGAGTCAATGAACGGAGCAGAATGACCGCGACAGGCAAGGGGGAGGGCAGGGGTGTGTGTAGCTCTGATAAAACGGGAAACTGGAAGTCAGTTATATGCAAAAAATAAAAATTAAAAATAAGGGGTTTACTATAACGAAAACATAACTGCAGCAAAGTGACTGCTGTGGGGCTGGAAAACTTTTGATCCTAGCTATCGGGCTGCTGCTAGAAAAATAGGGGAGCTTTCCCTTTACAGTTTCATAGCTAAGGACAAGTCCTATTTGCCTTTTAATGTAGTTCTTGGCTTGGCCCCAACAACTCTGCAAGCCAGCAGTCGTGTTGGTGCCAGCGAGCCTGAGGACCATATAGCTGTAATGTGGTTTCCCTCCATGCAGATAAGAGGCAGTTTATAAAATATGAGTCATGTTGTCAATACACCTCAATTGTACTATCGTCACTGCCGTGGATTGCCTCATTTAGCTCGTTACAAAGAGGGGCTGGATGGTTCTTGACTGAGCAGGTTAAAGTAAGCACCCAAGCATTTAAGTGTGCGTCTATGGGCATGTGGGCATGTTGTTTTTAGTTACTGAGCTTTCAGTTGATGGAAACTGATAGAGCACTTTTCCTTTTAACCATGCATGGATGCTCGGTAATGAGGTTGCTGAACGTGAGTTTTTTACAGGAACATAGGTCCTTGTGGTAAAATTGCCCTATGTATTACTGTGCCTTATCCAATGCGAAATGCGTTTTTGCAGGCATGCGCATAAGGCAGGCTACGTAGTCCGGGTCATCTGTTTTAGGGGTGTATTCAGGCTTCAATATGATGGCTACATTTTTCCTCGAGTTCCACAGGAACAGGCTTGGCCTTGCTCGGGAAGCCTTTGTACTTGTGATATGAAGAAGGGCAGCTTACATATCCCTCCATTCCTGCCGGATAGCCCAATGTGCCCACCTGCGCTGGGACCAAAGTTTGTTAGATAAATATGGCCAAACCTACAGGGAGAGAATATATTTTCTGAGATCCGCTTAAGTTTTTGTCAATACAGAAGTAAAATCAGCTAAGGCCTCACTTAGTACCAAGATACTGACAGAATGGCTACTCCAAGTAGATAGAACTTCAGGTTTCTACTTTTCATGCATCGGCATATTGGGTCATCCATCAAATGCACAAACTGCATTCGTCCTTGGTCATCTCTTGAGTGCTCTTAAAAGCTCAGCCCTCTTGCACCGCCTCTCCTCCCCTGTAAGTGTCGCCGGCTAAGCTACATTTATGCTCTTTGTACTACACTTGTTATGTTTATTTACGAGTTAGTAAATAATTGGCTATTTGGCCTGTGTGTTCGCGCATCTCATTTATGCAGTGGACCGTCGGGTCAATACAACAAGACGCGATGCTGTGTCTGCGTTCGCTAGATGCTGTGTACAACTAGAAGCAGTGAATATTCCGAGTAGATAGGAGGTGCACCAACGCACACCCTAGCTAATTCTCTGCTCTCGTAGTAATGCGCTGAGGGAACTGGGTAGGGGATTGAGGGAGCTATTTGGGAAGGATTTTCAATAACTCTTAAGTAAGTTTGTATGAAGTCTGGAGTCACATCTCTCTACCTGCTTTCGTATAGGGCCAGCTTGAGCGGCCTGATCCGATTTGAATGCATGTGCTCAGACGAACAGATGAATTTTCCAGCATTCCAAAATAATGGGCTTATTCGATGCGTATTTTCGTATATTTCATTCCCTCTACGGTAAGTGGGGGAAGTCGACGGCGTGTGCCCAAGCTGGAGCTAATTAAAATATCCAGAGAACCCAGCGGACTAGATGGAAGAGCAAACCACACAAAAACAGGAAATGCAAGCGCATACGGGCACCGGGGATCGAACCCGGGATCTTCTGCGTGTTAGGCAGACGTCATAGCCACTAGACCATGCCCGCGGCGAAGGAGACGTTTTTTAAGGACACGGTGGCGAAAAGAATACAGAGGTACCTTTTACAAAAGGAAGATACTGCTTAGCAGGCATTACAGCACACAGGAAAAAATAGAAGAACGCGACTGCTGTGTTATAGGAGGTACACGCTGAGGGCCAAATGGACCTATTGTGTGCTTTCCGTAGAATTGGCCATGGAGGAACTCTTCGTGCACTGAATCCTGGACCACCAAGCAGATTCCTCACTCTACGAACGCAGATAGCCCACGGAATAAAGAGGAGTGCGAGAATGATTGCCCTTCTTCCTACATAATGGACCAGTAGATATTCAGCTCTCCAGATATAGCTTCACATATCATCTGCTAATGCTCAGTTAAACAAAATATTTAGTGTAGACGGTTTGGCTTGAGTCAAAGACTGATTACCAGAGGCAGTCGCAGTGAGGGCGTCTAGCTCAAATGGTAGAGCGCTCGCTTAGCATGCGAGAGGTAGAGGGATCGATACCCTCGTCGTCCATTGTTCTTAAAAGGTGGCATCGCTTCTTTGTCCCAATTATGATGAATGATATTAAATCGGCCATCAAGCTACCAACTTTGTTTTCGAACCATTTTTCTTGCTGATGGTTTTGAAATCTGACCAATAATGACCCCCTTGCGGCTTCTTCCAATTCCGTTCAAGGCGGGCGGCTAGGAGCGGCGCCCTGCTTAAGGTCAACGTAGCTATATGCCAAAGAGTGTTTTTTTCAATGCGCAACTGTCGTCACTAAACATTTGGTGCTCGGCATTTTTAGAGGTTGTGCGTTGTGCCGTAACACACCGAAGCCGCATGACACCCAATGGCTCCTCAGGTCAATTCTTTACCAGACTTGTATAACTATTAAATGAAGGGCATCATGATGGAACTCGGTGTTTAAATCGTTTTTGCAAAGCTCTCAACCGCATCTCGCTTTGTTTTCAAGTGACTTTCACAAAAACGGAAGTGCAGGACACACCGAGTGTGCACACCAGTTACGTGGTATGCTCCTTTATTAAATGGCCCACACTGCCACTCTAGGAGCTGCTTGTGAGAGCATTTGGGCGAATTGGCTTGTGTCGCCCTATTTTCAAATGTCCGAAGTACCTACCGCTTTTCCTGCACCTGCAGTAAAGCCGGTCGACTCGCGCAATTGATGACCTGATAAACAAGGGAGATGGAGGCTGCAGACGTGGTGGAGGATGGTGAAGTCCCATATGGGCTGCGACGACTATGCGCCAGGCCATGGGCTGGTTGCTGGTTGCTAGCCAATGTGCGGCATTCCCTTCGTCCGCCCTCGTGCGACCAACAAGGTGTGGTTAGTTTGTACACTCAGTGTGCTACAGTCGCTGCATCTTGCGCAGCCGCGCCGGACTGCAGCCAGCGGCGGCGGGAGGCAGCCACAGGCAGGGGCGCTGGGGGGGCCCCTGTCACGACTATTCGCGATTTCTTGGTAATGAACCAACTATTTTGATCCATTAACGAGTCGGCATATATAGATGACAAAAGATAGGCAGGATTGATTTGAATTATTTATGGAGAACACATACACACAGATAGCAACCGCTTTCATTGAGCATGCATCGTACACACAAGGTATATCCAGTGGAAGATATGCAAACTGCATCAAAGAGTAGTCGGCGGTGCTTCTCAACAACAGCTGCATCATCAGACGTCTCGAGAGGGTACACTGGTGTCTATGCGTTCCAGTCATCCACTCTTACTCTTTGTACTTCGTACTTCACCCATAGCGTGAGCTCTAACTGTTGACCTACACTTTCGCTGTTCGCAATCTTACTTCTGGACTCGTGCACCGTTATCGCAGACCGCCACTCACAGAACAGCAGACAAATTGCTTTCGTTTGTCGTAAGACAGAACGGGGGAGACCAGTCACTTTTAGTCAAGGGGGAGAAAGGAGTGAGTGAGGTGCGGGGCTCATCGAAGCCATTGGGGCCTACGCCTGCTTCCGCACCTCTGTGCGCATACCCGCGAGTTCAATTGACGTTTCATCTGCTGCAGCCACAACTGGTGGTGCTCGTCGGCAGCAGCTACAGAAGAAGCTATCAACTACGCGCAATGCCTGCACGAATATGCCCCGGTTGCCCCCTGAAACTGGGACGGGCGCGTGGTGAAGGCGCACAAACGGGAGCTCGTGCGAATAAAGGGAACTGCGCCCCATCCAGAAATCCCAGCAGTTCTGCCACACCTACAAGTCAACGTACACAAAAAAAGCGAAACGGATGGGAAGGATCCACCAAGGTCAAACTGTGAGCGAATCCGCGAACAGTTAGGGTCAGGGGATCTAGGATGTGGAAGAATGAATGGAATGATTAACAGCGACATGCAGACCTTTGGAGAACCAAGAAAAAGTAGTGGCATATAGATGGGAATCCACTCATCCACAGAGTTCTCCGCCCCTCTCATTTGCTTGATGAAGTATAATGTGTGAGGAATTGCATCGCCCGCTCTCTTGGAAATAGACACAACTTTTGGATATGGTACTTTCCTTTGTCACACTAAGGGCAGAGATCAGTATTGTCACTGCCGTAAATGCCCAATATCAGCCTAGCCAAAACTATTTACGTCCATACTCACTTCTCTACTGTGACAGGTAAAAAGGAATCTGTGAATTGATGAATGTCTCTAACTCACGCCTTTGCTAAGGGGGTTAAAGGTTTTCTTCCAACGCATTCCATGGCGCGTCATGACTCCGACTTTCCGCCAGAGATACCTGTATCTGCAGGGATCTCACAAAAATGGGAAAGAGAAGAGGTTGCTGAAAATGCTTGATTGCTCGGGTGAGAGCTCGTTTGCTACCCACAGCAATAATGAAGGCCAACAGGGTCAGAAAGAGAGGGAGACGCGGGATAGGGGAATGGAATGCGCTCCCAGAACAGACCTCCCTTTGTTGATGAG